ACAAGCACTGGGCACACGCACTCCGAGAAATGGCAGAAAAGGCCCTGGTGAAAATCTTCTTTCCCCCCACAACACAAGGAACCAAGAAATACCAAGACCAACCGGCGACGAGCGATCGGAGGATCCACAAACTTCTGGAACGGGATGGGGGAGCTTTGGCCCAATAATACTGCGAATCCTTGTCTCATGCTGATATCACAGTGTCGTAAAGGGAAACCCGTTCCCCAGCTGGGCTTATCAGCTCTGGAGTTATGCGGGGCCAACGAATGTTCCGGATTGAGGATTGATTGATTCTATCTAGGAATATGGGGTGACGGTCAGACGGTGTCCCTCTGTTGATGGTGCCGGTTAATTTTCCCCATGCCGACGTAATCTCCTCTCCATTGTGTTATCAATTCTTACAATAGTATTTTCGTTGAGCTGACACTGTGGGGTAGGAGCGATTGGCGGAATTGAATACTTCCCTGCCCCAGCGCCCTGGCTTCACAGCCCCCGGACTGTTCTTCGATAATATACCACAGACTCAGCTTCTGATTACCTGTCCAGAACCCCGGTGCCAGTGAATGATCTAGAAGGGAGGGGAAGGGTGTTCTGGACCTGAACGAACAGGGTTGCAAAAGTTCAAACTAACCCCTGTCATATAATGGCTGCATGAATAGGCTGATCATCGGCGACCAAAAGGACCTTTGAAACGAAACGGCTTCCGACTCCGAGAATTCCGCGAGATAGACCCCTGGTCTGGGGGGCCATATGCGCGCAAACTCGCGCAGGTTGACTAAGACTCGAGCGATGCGAAGAGAATTTGCCCCAGCATCCTCAACCCCCGGGTAAAATGGTATCAGTCAGGAGAGGCGGAGCCAATGATACAGACTTGGCGTCTTGTGTCTTACTGAGGTCGCATTTCTTGCCGCTGCTGAGTTGATGACACGTCGTCTCTCGAAAGCCTTGTTCGCGGGCTGTTGGTCCGAGAAAGCGAACCATATCGCCACATATCCGGCTATAGACTGTGGCTGACGGCCTCCCCCCCGGAGTGTATCCGACGCGCGGATAATGGGTCGTCGCCGCTCGTCGGCCTTTGTCAAGCCGGGAAAACATTGTCCGCAATTTCAATTTTTTTACGTTTGCTTTTCCTTTGGAGAAGTCTTCTCCGCGGATATGGGGACTGGGGGGAGCTGATCGACTACCCCAAGGAAACCATCTCCGGCGGATGGAGAAAATAATGGACGATGGAGAATCTCAATCATACGGCTTTTGCTGTCCCTGCTGAAGCTCGAGATTAGTTGTCGTTAGCGAGGTACTAGTCTGTATGCACTCTCCACTCCATAACTGGGGTGGTGAGGAGCTCGCAACAACTGTCAACGAACGAGATAGCCTGGCAATCACACGGGGTTGGATAGAGCGGAGCGGCCACTGTCGATGGCCCCTGAATCCGTTCAAAAGGCCAATTCGGCTGTACGGGACTGTCCTGCACTCTTGAGAACTTGGACCTTTTGGTCGAGTAGTCTAGATCGTGAACGAAAGCTTGTGATAGTCGTGATGCAACAGCTCTTTCACATGCTCTGAGTTCTTATCGACGGCAGGATTTCGACGACGGGGAAATATCCTTCCTTCCCCAGGAATACTCCGCACATAGCCATGCTTGCGAGAACGCCACAATAACTACGTCAATCACATTCATCCGCGGCTCGAGCTTCTGTGTAATCATATTTTCGCTTTTCCCTCAATTGTTCCCTCCTATCCCTGGCGCTAGGGATGACGCATTGTTGATACATCGACTACTTTGGTTTTTTAGGGGGAAATGGGATGTAGCTGTGGGGCGACAAGGCAAATTGTCCAGATTTGTGTAGCTTTAGCTTCAAGAGGCAAGACTGAAAGGGCTATTACAGTATGGCGTCAATGCTAAAAATGTGCATCTATTAGCTAAGTTAGCTTGCCCGGAAGTCGAGACATGGTCCTGCCTTAGTGGCGTACGTGGCCGCGTTTCGAGATGCCAATCTCCCGCCGATGGGGTCTGGATCACAGTCCATCACCTTGCCGGCTGAACAACAATTGCACGAGCTAATATTTTGCAAAGGCACATGTGCTAGGGCTGGAAACTGAAATCTATTGCGTCAATTCCCCGTTCTCGACGGGAGTAAACTCTGACCGAGAGTCAATCCGAAAGTCAACAGGGACTACTGGATCCATGGGCATCTCGACTCTTGGATTCAGACTCCGGAGGCATTAGATTCGGGAAATATCGGGAGAATGTCGGAGTCAGGGCTGGCAGGGGGCGTGATGCGACCTCTCAAGCTCAGTGGTGTGATTGCGGAGGGGGACAAGCCTGCTTATCCAAGCCCTTCCCCAAAAGCCTCCTATTTCGCACTCCCAAAGTGTGCCTCGGTGAAGGGCCGGGGGCGAATTGCCAGCGGGTTTTCTTTCCGGACAATGTCCGCCCAAGGCCCCAGCCTGCCAGGCGCTCTCCACGACTTGCTCCTTGAGGGCTGAAAGCCCGCGGGCCCGGCCAGAATTTCCCTCGGCATTGCCGTCCCGAAGTCTCGCCCATCTCTGCCGACTCTATCCCGAATCCCGTGGTTGTGGTCTGAGCACGACTGGAGAGGGAAATTGAGCCGGTGTTTATTGTTGCTACGTATCACCATTTGCTCGTAACTGAGGACTCAGCACCCAGCAAGGCCAGGAGGGAGACGGCGAGGAGTCTCGAGAGCCGATAGCTCTCAACCCCTGATCGTTTGCTTGTGATTATTCCTAGCATTGATTGTTTACAGTCGGATTACTGTTTTAAGCAAGCTGTGTAACCATACACAAGTGCATGGTCCCGTAGAGCGGTAGAACCTCGGTATCTGCAAAAAATCTTCATTGTCGCCTCCCGACTCGAATATGGCTCATGAAGGCGGGCCCCAGCAGTGAAAGATGGTCTCGTCGCGCTGACGAAGACTTTCCTCCGAGGCTGAAACCTCAGAAACCTGTCTTGACTTTGAGATGGGTCCTGTGGATATTCTCATCGAAGATAGCGGTGAACAGAAAAATTCAGTTGGCTCCATCCAGATCTTCAAATGGCGTGACGGCTCTTGATTCCGAGGAGATGAGACGACTCCCCGGATGCAAGCAAGATTCTTCGGATTCAGAGACAATCACTTTCACACACGCGTGATTATACCAGGACTTGAAGCACGAAAGCTTGTCTTGATTGTCTCTCTTGACTTTTTAAAATCTGTATATTCCAAGTCGAGGCGTGAGGTTGGGAGACTTCTCAACTGCCCAGCTGTCAGCATAAGTTTTTACTCCACACTCTATAGGATAAGTCATCTGTTGGTTCCTGAGCCATATCCCCGACCTTACCTATCGTCTCCAATATCTATACGTACATACGATGATGGGCCAGCCGGATGCCTTCTGTCCCAATATCACACTCTAGACCACGCGCAGCCTGGTTCATGATGCGTGACCCCCTAATCGTACAAGAGGGGAGAACGATGGAGCGAAGCGGCTCTTATCTGGCGGAATGCGGCTTTCGTCATATTACCGCATTTGGCGACGACGATGATGTCGCGCCATGGAATTCTGCCGCGTCTTGCCGCCTAGAAATGCTCGGGGCCAAAGCCAAAAAAGTTCCTCATCCAGGCTCTCAACGGCCATGAAAGCCACATTCGCTTACCCTGTGCTTCAATTGTAGTTGCTGCTTTCAATCGACTCTTCCTTACTTTTTCGGGCCTGCGACGGGTTCGAATTTTCTCGTCCCCCTCTCCACTGAGCCTTCGAAAACTTCTCCTCTCGTCATGGCGCCCCCGCGCCAACGGAACACCGCTGTTCAGGACGACTCACGGTCCGAAGCTTCCAGCACGACGACAAAGGAGCTCAAGGCAGCAACATCGAAAGCAAGGAAAACCGTTAATGGTGTCGCAGCGACATCTGTCTCTCGAGAGGCTAAAGCCTCTACCAATGTTACCAGTGCCCCCGCTACACAAGGAGAGCAGCTGGACAACCTCCCAAGAGTACGTTGTTAGACAGACCGAAAATCTCACCTTCCATAAACATCTGACCTCCTTTCCTTAATATTATTGTCTCGATGCGTCCTGAGTAGTCATTTCCATGCTAATAATTTATCCTACCTTCTAGATTCCGTGGCCAGACATGCCTCTCGAATTCCTCCACTCGTACCGACACGCCTACAAATTGCCCTGTCCTAGCGCACACTCCACCGAATACGCACATAACCTGCTCTCGCGAGGAATCGGCCTCCGATCACCAACAGCCATTGCAGCCCAGCGTGCACATAGCTCGAACCAGATGAATGGGTCCTCGAGGAGCCAGCACCATAACCGCAGCCGTCCCAATGGCAGCGGCGGAAGCCCCCCTCGCAATCCATCGAAGAAACCCAGCTCGCTCGATGGAAAGGATGCCTTGAACCATATCATTGGTCAAGACCGAGTAGGCAAGAACCAGCTCGCCACGGCCGTCCGCAAACACTTCAACAGCGCCGGTCTTGTGGAACAAGAAGCCATTGCACGATTCTTATACAAAGTCCGCGAAGAGGGCCGAGGGCGGCATTTCCGACTGAAATTCCAGCCATGAATGTGCCAAATATTTTCTGCGTTTATATCTAGGTCTTTGTTTCCTAGTTCGGTCTGGCCTGGCGTTCGGTTTCGGCGTAATATCGCCCTGTATAAATTATGGGTTTCTGTTGCAACATTTATTCGGCTGGGTTATTTTTTGGTTCTGGCAGCCTTGTATCACCGAATTTTCCCTTTATATGATACCCATTGTTGGTACTTTCCCAACACTTTTTGACGTCTCCTCTTCTTTCCCTTTGTTATGCTGGTGTATTTTGATATTATTTACTGGAGTTATACGGGGTTGAAATTTAAAATTCATATTCACTTCATCAGTGCTTTATTAGCGTAGTGGTCGTCCGACTATTATGCAGAATATATATATATATATATGTATGTATGTATGTATTCAATGTTTGAGCTTGGATTCTCTCCTTATAGTGCTCTGTGCTTATACCAAGACTTCTGATAACCCATTCGTACTATTGTCCCTGGTAACAAGTAGGTAATTGTTAGTTGATTGATAGATAGCGGCCAAAACAGCCTTGTTAACTTTGGACACGTGAACTTTTTAGTTCTATACCCATCGAGACTCTTGAAACACGAAGCTATATAGAATAGGCAAAGAAATTCCATAATTCAACTAAACATACGTACTAGAAAATTAAACAAACGTAAATACGGAAAAGGAATATATTTAAAGTACGAATGAGGCGCAATGGTTGGCAAACGCTGTAATGCACGAGGTACAGTGGTACAGTTGAATGTTAACATCAACATATGATATTGAATACATTCATACGTAAATCTATCGTAGTTCTTCATTATTGGGGAGATAGAAGAAGATATCTGAAGAGAGAAGCCACTTATTTCCAGGCATTCAAACCGGCCCAAGGATCGGGAGTAGTTGATGAGGAAGAAGAGGGGAAGCCTGATTGCGGAGACGACTGCGAGTGGGTTTTATTATGTTGACTGCTCCCATATGGCCTGCTTTGAGCGTATCCGCCAGGACCTGAGGGGAATGGGCCCGCAGACGGTGTATAGGTAGTCTGCTGAGGTCGGGGAGGCGGCGGTGGCGGAACATAGCCTTGCGGCATGTATTGGCTCGAGGGGACGGGTGGGGTTGGGCTGGTGTAGAACGGAGTGGGTGCTGGAGAGTAAAAATGCTGACTTGGGGGAGGTGACATGGATGAGACGGGGACCGGATATGCCATCGGGTTATAGCCCTCGGAGAGTGGCGCGGCAGCGCCTTGCTGGAAGGACTGGGATGGGATGTAGGACACGCCGGTTCCTGGAGGCATGTACTGGCTGTAAGGCGCTGGGGAATGAGAGACGGGGTTGCCATGATGTTGTGGAACGGCCGAAGGGAAATGCGGTGACGCCTTAGGAGGAGCGATATTCGCCGGGTAAGCTGGTGCTTTGATAGGTGGCGGGGGAGACTTGGCTTGGGCTGGACCGCCGACTGACGGGGGTGGGGGTACAGAGGAAGGTTTTGGCTCCGTAGACAGGCGTTCCATCAGCTGTCTTAGTTTCTCTCGCTCGCGTTCCTCCTGGTCGGATGAACCGCTCGATTTCTCACGTTCGATCTGAGCTAGAAGCTGGGCACCTTCGGTCCTGCGGTTGTTGATGAAGGTATCGACGTTCTTTTTGAGGTTATCAACAGTATCAGTCATTTCGGTGTAGAATGTCTGAGCCTGTGTTATTCCTGAACGCAAGCTGTTGAAAGAGTCGTAAATCTTCTTATATCTGGCCATCACAGAGTTGCGCTGCCGGGTTATTGTCTCATATTTCGACTGCTCAGCCCTCACTCGTTTGTCCTGCAATAGGTCTCCATAGGTTTTGGTGAGCTCCTTCATTAACGCCGTTTGTTTGTGATTGGCCTGAAGGAGTCTGTTTTGATGAGGCCGAAATTTCTCCAGCTCAGCCTCGAAGAGCTGGCTTTCCTGACCTGTAATTGATTTCTTGTTGAGAATCAGAACGTTTGAGATATCGTCGTTGTGTACCTATATCACCAGCTGTTAGCTTTGAAATAACGTCCGTAAACACCTATAAATGGTAGTTACCTTGTCCTTTAGATCCTTCAAGACCTGAGACCTCTCTCGTTTGACAAGGTTCAGTTTCTTGAGAATTGACTCCACCCTGGAAATCTGATCTGCCACCGAGGGAACCTCATCATCATAGACATCATCTAGTAAAGTTCCTTCTGAGGCTGAATGAGGGCTAGTTACACCGTTTTTGCCCTTGCCCTGCTTCGAGCCAGCCTTTATCATTGCTCGCTGGAAAAGCACATCCGCTTCGTCCGTCTCCCCTGCTGATCGCATCTCATCAAAATCCGACTCATACTGCCGAAGAGTTGCAGAAAGCTGAGAGTCGCTGGCACTGGCTTCATGGATGGTATCTCTGTAGGACCTGATATCACTACGAAGAGTCGTATTCAGTCGACTACTGGGCTGCTGGCTCCAATCTGCCCCGTATTTCGAGCGCATTTTCTCGCAAACGCTCTCTTCCAAATCCAACTGTTTGGAACATTGGTCTAGTTGCGACAGAACCTCCGATTTGCGGTCTTGAAGACCATCAAACGCCTTGGAGAATGAGTCATGTCCTGCCAGCTCCTGACACCAATGTTGAAATTCCTCATCGACCGTCATTTCCTGGTCCATCCCTCCTTTCAGGATGTTGAGACTACCTGGAAGCTTGAAATAATCCAGGCTTGCTGCCATCTCTCCATTAGCCGTCTCGACCTTTTCTGTTTCTGCCCGGATCAATTTTGCCTTCTCTTCATCATATAGACTTGCTGTCTCGGTAACAGACATAGGAACAAGCTTCTGGAAAATATCGGGGCCGATGATCCGCTGGATATCCTGACCCTGGTACAGTTCACTAACGGGAATCACCTTCGCTGCAGGCAGTTTCGATACTGCGGATAGCCCCGCTTCGCTTGGGACGGGCTGATGATATATAAAATCGTTGTCCTTAACAGACGTGGCCAGTTGGGACTGCACGTTCGCAAGATGGAACTTGACAATATCCACCAAGTTAGGGCCCGCTTCCGAGCTTAGATTTGTGTTTGGGGAGACCGAGGAAGGAAATGATTTAGCCCAGCTGAGTGCAGCTGTCGAATGCTTCTCTGCCAGCTGGAGCCTCGCAACAGCTATTCCGTAAGAACCTGCTTCGCCGTCTGCTAGCGCTTGATAGTAAGACGCCACGGAGCCCATATGCGCAGATTTGGCTTGAAGGAGAGTGGCCCATGCCTTGTCAAAAATACCTTTCGCATGTTCTTGTGTCCCTTCAATAGCCTGCGCGTAGAGATATGAGGCCTGGCTGGCGAGTTTCGCCAGGAATCCAAACTTCTTGTTGTCCGCTATTTGCTTCTCAAGGAATACCTCTTGACCCTGAGCAAGTGTGATATTGATGAGAGTTTTTACGGTTTCGCGGTTCAGGTCAGTCGATGGAGCGTGGAGAAAGTTTTCGTTGATGTAGGTGAACATGCCGGCGGATGCCTGGAAGTTGTGATAAGCGGTCTTCAGGCCCGTATCATCCGCACGGTTTTGGTTCGCTGCATGACAGGAAAGGACTGCGGAGATATTGAAAATGATCGATGCCTTCTCGAAGGCGAGAGAGTATTGTGAGGTCGGCTTGTGGGTGAACGCATCATACCTAAAGGCAGCATTGTACAGTTAGAGAAGTCGTAGGCAACCACAGTGCTTGAGTTTCATACCAGGTAAAAGATATTTTGATGTGACTTTCGTCGACAGGAAATCTGAGATCTAAGAGCTCTAGTTGTCCATAGTATCGATAGAGAAGGTCACGTCCTGTCGCACTGTCCTTGCCAGCGCCCCTCATATCCTGGCGCAACCGGTTGAGCGTCGCACATTCTTGAGCATAGCGCTCAGAGTCTTCACCATAGCTCTGTCGAATATAGTCCTTGAGAGGTTGAATCCAGTCGATTTCGTTGGTCTGTTTGAGGGGACATGATATCATAGGCGACTGAACCATCTTGCCGGCGAGGAGCGGGGAGCTCCCATTTACCTAAAAGGAGAGCGGGGAATGGGGTTGAAGCGAGGAGTAATATATATAATACGTCGAATAATTCGAAGCCGAGATAGGAAGACCGGGAAGCAGAAATGAAAAGGGACGCAGAGCAGGGAAGGGGGAGGGATGATGGCTGTGGGGTAGGAAGGAGGATGTGATGGACTGTGGTGGTGATATCCGGCGGCGGAAATTCCAGTGGTTGGAGCCAGCTGATTCGACGGCGGCCTATGTGATGAATTGACAGCCACGCGGGGGAATAATAATTCAGCCTTTACGGCGCTATTGAATCTTATTGACTGATCTATAATTACCGTCAAATTAAATACTGCAAAAACGAAGGGGAGGTCTGGAGAAGTAGAGATGTTGTGGCTCCGATAATGTACATGCAGAGACAGCGTCTATAGCGCAATCCCTGGAACTGAACAACTATAGATACAATGAAGAGCTCTTCCCAACACAGAATATGCAAAATCACCTAACCAAATGAAGAAGACCACACCCTAATCTCGCCGGCGCTATGATATACAAAAGAATTAGAAGGTAGATTGTTCGAGCGATATGGATTAATATCTCCGCTCAAGTCGAGCCGGACTTCTTGTCGTTTTCGTTTTTGTTGCTCTCGGTCGAGGATTCAGACTCCTTTTTAGACGGTTCTTCGCTGGGCTTCTCTGATTCGGTCGGCTTCTTATGGCTCATGAGTTTGTGCCATGCAGATTTCAGAAATCCTTCGTTCTTGGCCGCTTCTCCGGAAGACTCATCGGATGATGGAGCACCACTGTTGTCCGTCTGTTAGCAAGAGTACCATAAATCAAATATTTTACAAGTGCAAATCATACCCGTCCTTTGGAATGTCCATGACCCGCCTGGCAGTCTTATCATTCATTTCATCGGCAAGAACTTCAAGGATAGTGCGCTGGTTGCCTGTCAGGTACTTGGGCATCGCAACCTTGAACTCAACCTTCAGGTCACCGGTCGGGCTGAAGCCGCGAGATCGGCCAGTTAGTTTCTTCATGCCCATTCCTGAAAGTGTAATCCGATCGCCGGTCCCAGTTCCCGTCGCAACCTTTACTTTGACGTGTCCATCGAGGGTGGGTACTGTCACTTCGCCACCAAGAAGTGCCGTAGTAAGAGGGACTGATGCGGTGTAAAGGATGTCGGATCCGGCACGACTGAACCGTTCGTCAGGAGAAACCCGAATGGAAACATAGAGGTCACCTCGCTGTGTCTTAGCGCCGGGGGCAGCTGCCGTTCCGGTAGGAGGTGCATCACCCTCTCCTGATATCCTTAGTCGCATACCATCCTCAACACCACCGGGAATATCGACCCGGACAGTCCTTCGGTCGCGGACCACTCCGTTTCCATGGCATGAACCGCATTGCGAGCCTCGAGGAACGATAAGTCCCGCTCCACCACAGGCATCACAGGTAGCCGCCACCTGGAAGCCTCCCTGCAGCATATGTACCCGAGTTCCGGTACCATTGCATTGGCGACATTGGGTACGTTTCGCACCCTGTTTCAAACCGTCGCCGTTACAGGTGCCGCACTCTTTCAGAGGGGTAATAACAACGTCCTGTGATGTACCTTTGGCCGCTTCCATAAATGAGATGCTGGTCTGAACCTCAATATCCTCACCGACTAGTACCTCCTGGAACGGACCCCGCCTACCCCGGCCGGAACGACGAGCGCCACCTGCGAAAGCCCCAAAAAGGTCCTCGAAGTTGATATCCGCAGCAAAACCACCAGGGAAACCACCTCCAAAGCCACCTCCAAACCCGTGGAAGCCTCCCCCACCAGCGAACGGGTTGCCTCCCGCGCCTGCACCGGCGCTCGGGTCGAAGCCACCATTTTGATCAAACGCAGCTGACCCGTAACGATCGTAAGTCTCACGTTTCTTTTGATCCGAGAGTAACTCATAAGCGGTCTGCGCCTCCGCGAACTTCTCCTTGGCGTTTTCATCCTTGTTGGTATCGGGGTGGTATTTCTTTGCCATTCCATAGTACGCTTTTTTGATATCGCCTGCGGAAGCGCCTTTGTCCACTCCTAGGACATGGTATGGATCGGGGACTGCCGCAAGTACGTTCGTAACATGGAAGCTCTACGTATATGAAAGAGGGATTAGACATTTGGAAGACAAGTATATTCGAGGTCAAATCTACTTACCCTAGTTTGGATGTAGTCTGGACGTTTCTTCATAAGAATACTATCCCGACGACGTCTCACGGGCGAGTGGATGGTGGTGACATGATATTGACGCGCTGGGACGGAGGTTCTAACTCCAGCTGTCTGGTTTTGTTTCGAGCATTGTCGCGAGGTTCGAAGGATACAGCCGGGAATAGCCGTGGCCTTGGGCACGAGTACCGAAGACGGGTTCATTGTGAAAAAATGAATGACGAGCTAACTGAGAAAACGACTGGAGCGAGGCGCAATATGCCCATGCCAGAGGGGAGAGTAATTGCTGCGATTTCCCCGAATTTTTGCTGCGAATCTGGATGGAGCAAAATCGAAGCTTCTCAGTCCTTCGGCTTAATCGAAGTTTCCCGACCGGAAAAAGTGATGGTCCGATCCTTCGAGATGATGGAACTGCTTGCTTCGGTAATCAATCGCCTGAGCTCGCCATCGTCTTTGCTCCATCATTGCCGTCCCGCAACTTTGTGCTTTTCTCCTTGCACAGTTTCTTTTGTTCTGTACATTATCTTGTTTCTGTTTTCTTTTTTCGAGGCCCCCTCTATTTTGCCTCGTTTGTCACTATATACCCAGAGAGCATGCTCCGCGGCCAGACCCTCCGCTGGAGAGCCGCGCTCCAAACACCGCGCCCTTTCATTCTCCGGCCCCTTTTTGCTTCACACGGATACAATGTTGGTTCTCGATCGTTTTTAGAGACGTCGCGCCGTTTCCGCTCACTTCCGCCGACCCCTCGCACTTTTTCATCCAGCGCCGCCCGGCGGAGAGAAAAGCCTCCACCTGGAGACGAGAAGGAGGATCCAAACCAAAAAGAGAACAAAGAGAACAAAGATGGAGGCGAAGATAAAGATGTTGATCGGGAGTCTCGCCGCAAGCAGGTTGATTCGTCTGGGAAACAGGGCTCTGTAGAATCAGGAGCTCCGACATCGGCCTTCGCAAGGCGGAAGGAGAAAGCGGTGGATAAGGAGCAGCGTAGCGTGGATGAAGATGCAAAGAAAGAAGCCGAAGGGAAAGGCAACTCTTCGGGCACCCCCTCTGCTATTCCTGTGAGTGAGGGCTCGTCAGACTCCAAGCCCAGTGGCTCGAACAATGGCGGTGATGATGGTGGAAAGAAGGGAAAGAAGAGCTCCAACGACAAGGCATTGCAAAAGCCGTCAGTACCTGAAGTTTATCCTCAAGTCATGGCTATCCCTATTGCTAAACGACCGCTTTTCCCCGGTTTTTACAAAGCCATCACCATCCGTGATCCAAGTGTCGCTACTGCGATCCAAGATATGATGAAACGTGGGCAGCCATATGTGGGGGCCTTCCTGTTCAAGGATGAAAATGCAGACGGTGATGTGATTGAGAACACAGACGATGTCTATGACGTTGGTGTATTCGCCCAGGTTACTGCTGCTTACCCTTTACGCGGCGAGCAAAGCGGCGTAACAGCCGTACTCTACCCCCACCGGCGTATCAAGATATCTTCTCTACTGCCGCCTAGCGATTCCTCGAAGGCTGCCACACCGGAGGATAAGACCACAGAAAAGCGCGGTGACGTTGTAGCGAGCTTTGAGGAGAACTCCGAACTCGCACCGAAAGATCATTATGAACCTACCTCTTTCTTACGGAAGTACCCAGTCAGTTTAGTGAACGTTGAGAACCTTACGGAGGAGCCTTTTGATAAGAAGAGCGCTATTATCCGAGCCGTGACAAGTGAAATCGTCAACGTCTGCAAGGAAATCGCTACACTGAACCCCCTGTTCCGTGATCAGATCTCGGCGTTCTACACAGACCAGTTCCCTGGAAACCTGAGCGATGAACCTGCTAAGCTGGCGGACTTTGCTGCCGCCGTGTCAGGGGGGGAGCTGCATGAGCTTCAGGAAGTTTTGGAGCTTATGAATATTGAGGAGAGATTGCCTAAGGGATTGGTCGTCCTGAAGAAGGAGCTAATGAATGCCCAGCTTCAATCGAAGATTTCTAAGGATGTGGAGGCTAAGATTCAGAAACGGCAACGAGAGTACTGGTTGATGGAGCAGATGAAGGGGATTAAGAGAGAGCTCGGTATTGAGTCCGATGGGAAGGATAAACTTGTGGAGAAATTCAAGGAGAAGGCAGAGAAACTCGCTATGCCCGAAGCCGTCAAGAAGGTTTTCGATGAAGAGATCAACAAGCTTGCGCATCTTGAGCCGGCTGCCTCTGAGTTCAACGTCACTCGGAACTATTTGGACTGGTTGACACAAATTCCCTGGGGGAAAAAGAGCGTGGAGAACTTTGGGATTAGCCATGCGACCACTGTTTTGAACGAAGACCACTACGGTTTGAAGGACGTCAAGGACCGCATTCTCGAATTTATTGCTGTTGGAAAGCTCCGGGGTACCGTGGAAGGGAAAATCCTCTGTCTTGTTGGTCCTCCTGGTGTCGGAAAGACAAGTATCGGAAAGTCAATCGCCCGGGCGCTGAACCGACAATACTATCGGTTCTCCGTAGGTGGATTAACAGATGTGGCCGAGATCAAGGGTCACCGAAGGACGTACGTGGGGGCCCTTCCTGGGCGTATAATTCAAGCACTCAAGAAGTGTCAAACGGAGAACCCTCTTATCTTGATCGATGAAGTGGATAAGATTGGCCGCGGTCACCAGGGCGATCCTTCTTCGGCATTGCTTGAACTTCTCGACCCCGAGCAGAACTCGTCCTTCTTGGATCATTACATGGATGTGCCTGTGGATCTGTCGAAGGTCCTGTTCGTTTGCACTGCCAACATTACTGATACGATACCCCGGCCATTGCTAGATCGCATGGAGGTGATCGAGCTGTCTGGTTATGTTGCGGATGAGAAAATGGCAATTGCTCAACGATACCTCGCTCCCGCTGCTCGAGAACTTACTGGCCTCAAGGAAGTTGACGTCACCCTGAATGATGAAGCGATTGAAGAACTAATCAAGTCGTACTGTCGTGAAAGTGGTGTCCGAAACCTGAAGAAGCAGATTGAGAAGGTTTATCGGAAGGCCGCCTTCAGGATTGTTCAGGATCTTGGAGAAGAGGTCCTAGCAGAGGAGAAGGCCCTCACGGAAGAAGGCAAGGCGGCGCAAGAGGAGTCGAACAAGGAGACAGCTTCTACCGGAACATCGAGTGAATCGGACAAGTCAACCGCAGAAACCCCTCGGGTGGCACTCAAGGTACCCGATACCGTCCAGCTCAGCATCGGCAAGGACAGCTTGACCGACTACGTTGGTCCGCCGATTTTTACTGCTGACCGCTTGTATGACACTTTCCCACCGGGTGTTACTATGGGTCTGGCCTGGACCAGCATGGGAGGTGCGGCTCTCTACGTCGAGTCCATCTTGGAGAATGCGTTGACGCCCGAGTCTCGACCGGGTCTCGATATCACGGGTAATTTGCAGAATGTGATGAAAGAATCTACTCAGATTGCCTACTCCTTCGTGAAGTCGGTGGTGGCCAAACAGTACCCAGAAAACCGATTCTTTGAAAAGGCTAAATTGCACATGCACTGCCCGGAGGGTGCTGTTCCAAAAGACGGTAAGTGATTGAAGCCCAATGAAGCAATATCAGGTGCAAATGAGCTAATCAAACACAGGCCCATCCGCTGGTATCACAATGGCAACGTCTCTCCTTTCGCTGGCGCTGAACCATCCCCTGGATCCAACGATCGCTATGACCGGAGAGCTGACAGTGACCGGGAAAGTACTGCGCATCGGAGGTCTGCGAGAGAAGACGGTGGCTGCACGCCGTGCTGGCGCCAAGAAGATTATCTTCCCAGCTGATAACATGTCCGACTGGCTGGAGCTACCTGAGGTGAGTGCTTATCTTTCAGGTACCTTTGGACCTTCTTTTATCTAACAAATATATTTAGAACATCAAAGAAGGAATTGAAGGCCACCCCGTGAGCTGGTATTCTGAAGTGTCCGATATCCTGTTTGCCGATGTCGATAAGGATGCCGCAAACCACGTTTGGCAGAAGCAGCTGTCCGAGGACCCCAAGAAGAAGAAGAAGTCTAATGACCATGACGAGGACGATGACTGAACTTGGGTCGTCGGCATTTCTTTGGTAGACTTCTGTTGCTGTTCAGCCTTTGGGTTATTGGATTTTGTATTTCTTGTCATGTACAGGCGTTTGTTGCGAAATGCATAGTCCGGAGTTGTTTCCTCTTTTTCTTTTTCTTTTTTTCACGTCTTTTGAAAATACCATGTTAGAATTACGACAGGTTTCCCGGCCCTGGTCGGCCAGGGTCGGGACATAGTGCTTCTTTGGATTCTCTTGTTGCGCAGACTTGAGTCTACGCGAGGAGTTGAAGGAAGAGCTCAACCACTCCGCTCCGAAAACGAGGATTGTATGATGAGGCCGATGGACGATTGGATTCGATATCTACCGATCACATGCATGTATATACCTACTATAAGCAAAGACATGGATGGCGGGTAGGAGTAATTTAATACCCTCGTACAGATGATAAGCGACGCTTTTGTTAAACAGGTGCTTCCAGCTCTATAGTATCCCAAGGGGTACCGATCCCAGAAAGGCAAAAAGTCGAGCGCAGACTTTCCAGACGATAGGACTCCCAGATTCTGCACCCGGCAGGCACCTCCCAGGGCCCTCAAGGTGTCCTCCAATAACCACTACACCAAGCCGATGACACCCACGGTGGACAGGTTCCCGGGCCAGGGAACAGCAAGACTCCAACCAGTAAGTGACGCAGAAGACAAAAAGTATTCGCTGCAAGCGTCCCAACGAAGCAATATTGAGTTCTGTCGAGGCGAATGATGAGCATGGCAGGAAGAATGGCTGGCGTGTAGTTCGGGGTGGAGGGCTGCTGGGGGGAGAGACTCAGCGTGATGATTGGGCGCCCTTTTTTTATAAACGGCTGTTCGTTGTTCGCGAGCATCACTTTGAACAGCGAACAGCGAACAGGAACTAGGGACGGATTAAGCAAGAGTAGGGGCAGGCTTCGAGAAGGAATTGGGCTGTGCATTGCAGGAGTGGGGTAGAAGATGGAATTCTGGGATCCATGACTGTTGGGGCTCTCAGGGAGTGACTGAGTGGCTTAGGTACTGAGTCTCTTTGGGTATAGAGCAGTGTATATGCGTATTGAGTCTAAGCACTGTCTCGGTGGCAGGTAGGGCTTGGGCTGCAGAACCAGTTGGATTCGTAGCTCACGGCGAAAGTAAACGGCTCAGCTAGCTGCTTTACTCCTCGAGTGCGCTGGTCTCTACCTGGGTACACCGTCAGTGTATATCAAAACGTCGATCTATATGTCGCTTGTCGGTGATGGTATTTCGCTGGACATCAGGCACTGTCAGGCCGCAGTGCGTCCAATGGGGGAATAGTGTCAGTTAACCAGAACGAAAAGCAGGGATACTTTCGTTTGGACGAAAACTGCGAGGATCTGTTTAGCTTTGGAATTTTTGAATATCAGGGCATCGCAGATTTATTGTGCGCCCGCTTCTGCTTGTATACTGCACCATCCTCTCGAGTATACTTCCTCGTCCCGTATAGCAGCTAGTTTGATACCCGCTGCCAGTAACTATAGGAACCATCGCCTTCAGTGAGTCATAACTCATCGAGATAATAATAAATAATCGCGTGGCTATTCCGGGGCTCTCCTGGGCTAATCATCTTGCGTTGTTGCAGCGACAGCTTCATTTTGTTCGTTTTCTGCGTCTTCTCCCACTCCGACTTCTTTTCTTCTCCCCGTCTCCAAGTACCCTTTTCCATTTTGCTGCTTTTGTTGATGCTTGCTTTTCGCTTTTCTTTTCTCTCCTTCTCTTTGGCTGTTTACTGTTCATTCTAATCCCTTTAACTGCGCCGATATCCATCCCCTACTTGTTTCTCTGCTGCTGTTGTGCGACCTGTTACGACGCCGAACCCTCACCGACTCGTCGAGGGCTGCTCGATGCTCTGCCTGGATCTGTCTGATTTGACTGCCTTGAGCTCGGGCTGTTAGATTTTTTCGTCCGATCTTTTGTAGTCACTCTTCTTTTCTTTTCCTTTCTTTTTTCTGCTCAGACTTCCGAGTTTTCCCCTCTGAAACGAATCCCTGTCAAGTCAACGGGAATCCCGCCGCGATAATTTCTTATGGCCGGCGCCCTCCCAGCCCCCTCGAGTTTTCAAGTCGCCCTCCCCCATTCGGCCCTCTTGATCTCCTGGGTCGTGCTGGATGGCCATCTCCATTGCAGACAGCTCCTGTAGCTCGCCCAGGTCGTCTCTGGGCTTTTTGCTGGACCCCGAAAAGGTCGAGCCGCCGCGTCCCAAGCAGAGCATGTGGCATCGCCTGGGTCTCCGGCGATGGCTTGGCCGCGATGACCGAGATTTTTTCTCTCGCTCGCCTACAAGCACTGATTCTCCCCCGGCGTCGAACACTCGTCCCAATTCCAAAGGCACCGATTCCCCGCCCCCCAAATCCCACGATAACCTTACGCGCCGGCTGTCCAGAAAGGTAGGTGTTGGCCTGCCCCGGTCCACTACCTTCAAGAGACAACACTCCGAAAGTCGAGACCGTCTCTCCCCTGTCAACTCCGAGCCTCGCCGCGCTGCATCGGCCGACCGTCGTACACTGAGTCTCGAGCGGACAAAGTCCCCACAGTCTGTCGTGGATCCCAGATTATCCGCTCCCGAGATTAACTGGCGCGAAGACCCGGACCCAGAACCAAGCCCAACCAAGGTCGACGACCCCCCGGAAACGAATGAGGATACAACCCAGGATAGCGATGTCAGGTCGGAATGGGACCACTACCCCGAGGTGACGGATACACCCGAGGGGTATCCTGTTGATAATTTCGACATGGACTTGGAGCGCCGGTGGATTCTGAACCTGAGCATGCACTTTCGGGACGGCTCAGAAAGGGAAAAATTTTTCGTCACCTATGCCGAAGCTGCCAACAGATGGCGCCGCGTCACTATATCTTGCGACTATCGCGACGCCGAACCTGAATCCCTGGAGCAGGACCTGAAGGAATTACGGTACCAGCGAGACAAGTGCGCCCGAATCTACGAGTCGATCCGCGAGTCGCTCACCGAGATCCAGTTCTACGATACCGTCACCAATCTGAAACTAGAAACCCTCGATGGTCGCTTACATGTCCATGTTACCGAGGATGTGAACGAGATCATCCCCTACCCTCCCATCTCCAGTATCGGCCACTTACCAGACGCCCAACTCGTTCCCGAACGCCGGTTACACTTCGAGGCACACCTATCGGGATTTGTGTATAATGTGAGGCTGGGCGATAGATCGTTTATCAAGAAGGAAATCCCTGGGCCAGATACCGTTGACGAATTCCTATACGAGATCAACGCTTTGCATGCGCTTCAAAGTACCCCCAATGTGATCCAGGTGGAAGGAATTGTGGTTGATGACCGGCAGGAAGTTGTTAAAGGCCTTCTCATTAGCTTCGCCGAGAAAGGAGCCTTGGTGGACATTTTGTATGAATATCGTGGGACAATTTCCTGGGAGCGTCGGGAACGTTGGGCTAGACAGATCGTACACGGCCTTTGCGAGATTCACGAGTCGGGCTATGTGCAGGGAGATTTTACCTTGTCGAATATTGTGGTGGACGCCAACGACGATGCGAAGATTATCGACATTAACCGACGAGGTTGTCCGGTGGGATGGGAACCACCGGAGATTGTGGCAAAGATCGAGAGTAACCAACGGATATCGATGTATATCGGAGTTAAGACAGACCTTTTCCAACTGGGAATGACACTTTGGGCACTGGCAATGGAGGAGGACGAACCTGAGCGCCAGCGCCGGCCGTTTGTGTTGGACGAGGACCTTCCCGTCCCGGACTATTATCGGAGAGTGGTGTCTATTTGCCTCAGTCCGATCCCTCGACACCGACTGTCAGCTAAGGAGCTGCTGAATTTTTTCCCTCCCGAAACCGGAACATTTGAGCAGTTGCCCAGGATGCAACCTCCTATAAGCGTCGGAGTTGGTCTGCACAATGGCGTCTTCCCTTTGTACGACTCCCGTGCTTCTTTTCTATATCCCCGCGGGCGACAAATGGGTAGCTTCGGTCATAGTAGGCCACATACCGCGCATCATTCTCCGCACGACGATCCTGAGAGCATACCCTCACCAGAAACAGATGGAGCTTTTGTTTATAAAGAGGAGCAAGACCGGCAACTGGAGCCGTATGATACGGTGCCACGGCCGAATGGCATTCGGAAGGAGACCTCAATTATTCTCGATGAGCGCAATTCTGTGGATGACCTGATACCAGTGACAGAATACACCGAAAGAAACCTGTCGTTAGATTATGGGGACAGTGAAATTGACCTAGACGGTGGCGTGGATCCTCGTTACCGAATCTCCTCAACGGACATGACAATGGTCGATCCTGTATCAGACGCCGAGCATCTACCGAATGAACTTGGTAGTGCTGGGCCATGGGAGCATTCGTCTCGAAACGGCTCTATTCATTGCCAACGCCCGGAGTCGCTTCCTGCCACCCAGGCCCCTGTCAATATATACCCGGCAGGCTCGGCAGCCGAAGATTGGACTAGTCAAGAACCATTGCAATCTGAGTCTACGCTTCTGCAATCTGCACTCCCAATTAATCCGGCAGCCGAGTTTGAGTTAGGACCATCTGCAACGAAGGACAATTCACCACCCCCGAGTGACATTTCGGACTATCCTCAGCATCTTAATGACCAACAGAGCAGTTACCTGAGTGAGTCTACTTTACCGATAAACCCAGCCCTCATATCTTTGGAGGAGCCGCCTAAGCAAAACATACCTTCTCAACCATCACCTAGCATCCAGTCGGATTTTGTATGCTCCCAAGCTAGCCTCCAAGGCCCTTATTTGAGCGAATCCGTGTTACCAATAAACCCGGCGGTCAGGTCACCGGAAGTGGACCGGTCAAGCTCGGGGGCAGACAGTTTGTTGCCTCGCCTCGTCGAGACGATCCCCGAGAACCATCAACATACTATACATGACCAACACTTTTGTCTCAGTGAATCTATTTTACCAATTAATCCAGCAATTGAGACACCGGAAGATGTATTCGACCATCAGAAGCATACTATATCAGCTCCCGATTTAAAAGCAGCCCAGGACTCTCAAAATATCGACCAGGACCAAGACCAAAACTCCTTCAGCAATTCAAAGTTACCAATCAACCCAGCTATGACATCCTCTCAGGTGTCCAATCACAAGACAGACGACACCACAGGTTTTAACGCAATTTCAATTTCGCGCGCTCCAAAACACATCGAGACATCGAACCAAGATTTCTCTCTCCGCGATTCTCACCTGCCCATCAACCCAGCAGCCAAAGCGTCGACAGAAACAATCAACCAAGATTCAGCTCCAACCTCCACCATTGGACACAAATCAACCTTATACCCTCAACATGTTGTCCATGATTTGAATTCCTACTTGAACGACTCTCACCTACCCATTAACCCAGCATTCACCGGCAAGGCCGTACAATTTGTATGACCTGACTGATAAAACCCACAACTACCCCAACCAACCTGTTTGATTAAAGGCCCCGGCTGGGGTTTCGCGCTGTATACTTATTACTTACCTCCTTGCGTTTCAGCACAATGCAGCGGATCATGACGGCGAAGACATGGAGTTTCATTGCGGCGATTTTTCTCCTGGGGGTTCCATTTTTTTTTTTTTTTTTTCTTTCTTCTTTTTATTTCTTTGCTGTTCTCTCGTCCCCATAAAACTTGATTTGATATGCTATTCCCATTGCTTGATCGCTACTTTTTAAGTTCCAGTTGCATTTCCCTACTACCTAGCATGATACACTCAGCATCGGCAGACTCGATTGATTTCTACGTCTTGGGGTTGCATTTCCCGATTTCCCTTTTATTTCTTATTTTTCTTTCCTACTTACGACGATATACGAACGGATGGGCTGTTTTATCTTTTCTCTTTTAATTTGGTTGGATTTATTCCCTATCTACGAGCTCTTGTCTATTGTCACTGTTTTTGTTTCTCTGTTGTTGTTTTTGCCCTGTGAAGTTCCATCACCTCCTGTCTTTGGGTAATGCATACTCACTCAAATGTATATTGGTTGATTTGTTGATTGATTGATTATTTGGACTCGCTATTTATTCTACTATTCTTAGCATCCTCTGTATTAATTGAAAAGAATTCTCTCTTTCTTGGTTCGCTTAAGTCTAAAGCTACTGTGCATCTTCATCGATGTATGCCAATTCATGTATGGCCTTCGTAACGCTCATCAAGATCTACCTATCTCTCAAGTAGCTAAACAGGATATGTACTTATTCATCTCTTGCTAAAAACTCATCAAAACTCCTCTGCCACACTGTGACATCGCCCAACCCCCGTCCAATCAGAACAAGCTTACACTGAGTCTTGCGCTCGCTATCTGGCGAGGGAGCCTCGTCCCTGATTTCGAAGACTTCACGCACGGCCTGGATGATTTTGCTCGAGCCGTCAGAGAGCGCTAGGATGCCTTTTAGACGATGGATGTCGAAACTTGCAGGGCTGCTACTGCTGGTATCGATAGCAGCAGCAGCAGGGAGCGTCGAGTCCCAGAGGACGGAGCGGAGCCAGGCGTCTACGAGAGGGACTTTTGAGGCGGGGAATGGCGGGTGCGTTAGGGCTATTGTTGATATGGACTTTACGTACATACATATCATGGTATGGTTAGTTTCTTTTTTTTTCAGTGTGATTCTCGGGGCGAGGCATAGAATGTGACGCGACGTACCGGGTCAATATGGCTGTGGCCCTTCTGGCTGAAATCCAGACTATCGAGGTGATCATATGCATGTAGATCTAGGACGATACCCTCGATTTGAGGCGTGCGGCTGTGGTCCGTTATGTGGATTTTCGCGGCACTGTTAATGGCCGTTACTCTGTCCTGGACACGCTCTAGCTCCTCTGTTGTGACGAGGTCGGTTTTGTTAAGGATGATAACGTCCGCGTGGGAGATTTGCATGTGAGCCATTGAGAGAACCGGCCCGGAGCCGTGATCGTGGTCGTGGTCGTGCTTTGGTTCGTCGGATACAGGGACGGTTTCTTCTGGTGTTGGTTCGTCGAGAAGATGCAGGATGTTTTTGGCATCGACTAGCGTGACGATTCCGTCGAGGTAAATTGAGCTTCCGAGGTTGTCGTCTACCCAGAAGATAGGGGCGATGTTCCCTGGGTCTGCGAGGCCGGTGGTTTCAAGAAGGATGTAGTCGAATGTTCCCTGGCGTTCCATTAGGGATTCGATTGCCATCACTCCTGAGTCCCTGTGCGCCGTTTTAGCACCACTGCGCGACTTGTTGGGAGAAATAATCAAGGGAAGTGTACTTGACAGAGCAGCAGATGCAGCCGTTTCCGACTTCTAACCATTCGGTGACCTCTTGGCCGTCTTTGTTGACGGTCATAGGTTTCTCGATGTCCGTTGCTACAGGGCGTAAGCTTGAGTTTTAGCTAGCTTTGAGGTGTACTTTGAGTTTCCTATTAGACTCACAGTCACCAAATTCTAAATAATCATTAGCATTTGCTGTACATGATCGGCTAATACTTGATGGTACCATTCATTATCACAGCAATCTTCTTGCCATGTTTTTCAGTGAGGATGTAGTTGAGTAAGGTGGTTTTGCCGGCACCAAGGTAACCTGAAGGGCTACAGTGTCAGCAATCCAGTGCTAGATAACCAGTATAATTCAAGCAAAAATCTACAGCATGTCCAGCGTACCCGTCACCAGCGTGATAGGCACGCGCTCTTGCGGGGGAAGCTCCGCAGATGATGATTGAAGTTCGGAGTCTGGGAGCTGGGTAACATCCACCAGATCGGGGGGAGCATCATCGTCATCCATATTGAGAATATGATCCAATCACTGTTCCAGAAATGACAGTAATGCTGCAGTCTGCTGGCGCAGGAGCATACAAGCGGAGTATACAGAATCTGGGGCAGAGATCGATGACGTTACTTAGAGGGGAAGGAGCTAGGGCTTAGGGCTACGTAGGTCATGGCTATCACTCACCGCCCGGCAGTTTCCGCTAGCTTATCCTCTAGTATTCCGTAGCTGCAGTGGAGTTGAAGGCTAGCCGCCTCTCTATCTCGGCTTCTGCTTGTTCTCCTTGATACCTCCTTTCGCCGTCTGACTCCCGGTCGGTCCTTGTTTCATTTCTTGCAAAGCTCCCTGACAATGGCCGCCGCGGGAGTCTCCTCCCCGTCAAGCTCTCCGCGACTCCCCAGTCCTCCTCCGTTTACTGAGGTACAGATCGGACCTCAGTCGCCCTCCGTGGGCGAGTCGTTTGGCGCGGATGCGGATCCTCAACGTCTGGGGGTCTCCTCAGGAGTAGATACTGGCCCATTGCGGAGAATTCGGCCAGGTTCGAAATCGAACGAGATGGCCTCGGGGCCTCCGTTAATTCCTCTTAAAGATGTTAGTAAACAAGTCAAGGCTCAACCACCTCAGAACCCCCTAGCGTTCTAACACACTCGTGCTTTCCATACAGCTTGACTCCCCATTTCAACTACAAGAGCATCTCAAAGCGCTTCATAACCATTTCACACGGCCTGAGAACTCCGACACGGTTATTCCGATCAAACGCGACATTGCTCGCCAGCTTGCGGAGCCCCCCGAGGGTGTTGAGCGGGCGCTATGGCTATACGAACTTTGCCGCTTCTTGACCATGAAAGTGAATAACCTCATTGTTGCTTTCTTCGCTGAAAGCCCACCATGCTCTGCACAGACCTGCCCCGAAATGCGGGCTTCGGAATGGCAATATCTTTGCGCGGTTCACGATCCGCCCAAGGCGTGTTGCGCCATCGACTACTGTTGCCACACGCTTGATTGGGCGACCAACATACTTACATCTCCGAAACATTTTCCGAGTAGGCTCACACTAGGATCGGAGTCCGGTGGTGGACCCCAGGCAGGCTTGAGACATCTCACCAACATTTTCCGGCGGCTGTATCGCATCTTCGCGCACGCTTGGTTTCAGCACCGGGAAGTGTTTTGGCAGGTAGAAGGCCACGATGGGCTTTATATGTTTTTTAAAACAGTTTGCGACATGTATCATCTTATTCCGGAGGATAACTATACCGTGCCGCCGGAGGCAGAGGGAGACGAGGCGCACCAGCCACAGCAATCGCAAGACACGAACGACGGCCGCCGACTGACGATTCTGCGGAAGGAGAACGAATCTCTCATGCCTCCCTTGGATCAAGTTGAGCCGGAGTCAATCAGCACTGGCGCCACTACCCGACGACACAAGTCTAGCCCGTCGATCGGTTCTCGGGTCACAACCATTAACGAGAGTGCGGAGGACAGTGAAGAGCCGGCACAGGAAACATCCGCAGAGAAAAAGGAGGCTGAACCGCAGCCACCGACTGAGCCCACGAATGAGACACAGGATGAACCGGTGCAATCTCCCACCCAAAGCACCGATTCACAAATCACTGTCGCCGAAGTTGAGCCGGAGGATGAAGCCCCCGCCGCCAGCGAGGCAGCCCCGACTACCGAAGTACTGGACCTGAACCATGAAACGGACCAACCCGCAGAGAGCGCTCAAGAAGAGACTCCTGCTCCAGCGACAGAAGACGCAAGCCCCGAGAGCAAACCCGAATCAAATGCCGAGGCTGCCAACCCGGAGCCGGAGCCAGAGCCAAAGATAGAGTCGACAACAGAGCCAGAAACCGAGCAGCAAGAAGCCAAGCTAGAGCTAGAGGAAAAAACAGAGGAGCCTACGAAAGAAGGCTGACCGCGCGTCGCCTGTAACTTCCCACGATCGCGATATTTTATTTCTATTTTTTTCATCATATACTATGACGAGACGGCGCTCATGCTACGGCTACGATTGTATCATATCTTTCTAACTGTGGCCGATGTTGCTGGGCCGTTTTTCAATTGAAGACGTTTGTAATATATTGACAGAAATAATGATACCCATATCTGATGTTTTCCTTTCGTAGATGGAGTATCGTCCACGCCTCTACGATCACATTGGCATGCTGAGTTATGGCTCGCTCTCCCTGCACCACCCGGAGGGCTTGTGGCGAGGCCATACTTAAAATACGTAAACCTAGAATTGGCGATGATTGGAAATACTCCGAGGACAGTTGGATTTCATGGATTTCGGAGAGTTGGTAGACTGGTAGACGAGCGACCTTGGAAGCAAGACCTCCGCCTCGCAGTCCGCTCCGCTCTCCGCACGACCTCCCCCATTCATCTTGACAACTGGAACCACCTCCCACGCCTCATTTTAACCATAATCGCACTTCCACTGTCCCTATATATGTCGGAATCCAATTCCCACCTCCACGAACCGACCATGCCCCTGACAATAAAAGGTGGTCCAATCCATTTCGGCCCTTTCCTCGTCACGTCGCAGGTGCGTTTAAAGCTCCAATTCAAACCCACTATAGCCCCAATTCAACGCTAATAAAGGCTAATTGCTCTTTGGAAATCTATATAGGTCTTCCATCAAACCCCGCTAAGCATCGCCCTCGTAAACCTCAAGCCCATCCTCCCAGGCCACGTCCTAATATCCCCGCGCCGCGTCGTCCCGCGGGTAGCCGACCTGTCACCCCCCGAAACTGCCGATTTGTTTCTCACCGTGCGGCGTGTGAGTCGAATGATTGAGCGTGTTTATGGGGCTACGAGTTTGAATATTGCGATCCAGGATGGCGTGGATGCGGGCCAGAGTGTGCCGCATGTGCATGCACATATTATTCCGCGGAAGAGGCATGACTTGAGTAGTACGGATGAGGTATATGAGAGGCTGGATGGAGAGGAGGGGGATTTGTCAAAGAGTTTGAAAGAAAAGGCTAAAGAGCATGGGGGAAGGGTTATGGAAAGGCTGAAGGTTGATAATGAGGAGAGAGTTGCTAGAGGATCGGAGGAGATGGAGAAGGAGGCGGCTATGTTGGCAAGGGAGATGGCGAAAGAGCCTACTGATTAATTGATTGGACGGTGTTGGTTGATTAAGTATTTGCGTTTGGAAGATATACCCTTTTGCTTGTTGCAATGGTTTGTATTGTCTAATGGTGCGGGTAGGATGGTATCTATTTGGCCGACCGACCGTACAACGCCTCTAGGCAAGAGAATATAATAGAAATAGACAGGTAAGAAAGGAAAAGAAAGAAACATGCGTATCGTCAGACATTTAGCCATCAACGTTTCACTCATGCGGACATGCATTAACTCGTAGACTGGGATGTTCTTGTCTTCCAGAGCGCCTCCCGCTCCTTCAGCACAGTCGCAGCCCATTCTTGGATTTCAGGAAGATGAATCTTCTTCGCGACATTCAAGAATTCTGCCAAATCAATCTCGCGGCTCCGCTCGTATTCAACCATCTGCAGCAGAAGCTCCATTTTATCAACGTCGTGAACGAATTGCGCCTCGAGCGTTTCATTCGCTTCGTACTCGTTGAAGACGGCAAGGATGTCATCTCCAGCGAGCATTCCGCTGGGAACACCGCGCAATAAGGTCCCGGCGATATACTCCATCACAGCAGCCTCGCGACGGGCCTTTTCGGTCTTTTTGATCGGATCGGCGGGGGTGATGTCACCGACAAGTGATTCGGCCATATCATGGATAAGCGCCATCTTCATGCAATGTTGCAGGTTGAGGCGAGAGGCCAGAGAGGGTGGGGCGAGCATGGTCATCACTGACATACGGTACATGTGGTCTGAAATTGACTCGCCGTTGTTGATGTCGAAGCGGCGCCATCCTTCGCGCTTTGTGGTCTTCAGTCGTTCGAGCAGGTGGAAGAAGGGGACCGGAGAGGAAGAGTTCTCTTCTATAGGGTAAGGAAAAGTGGATAGTACTATAATTTGGTCAGTTGCGGTGAGCAGATTATATTTGGTGGGCTGTACTGACCGGACTGGGGGGTCCAGGAGGAATCGGCGGGGGTTTCAGAGCCCATATTGGCAATGGCAATGGAATACGAGAGAGAGGAGAGTTTCCAACGGTAGATGGAGAAATTAAGAGAGGATAGGAAGAAACGAGCGAGGGGATAGCGGGGAGATAAGGAGGAAGGAGGGTCTGAAGAAGAAAAGCTCAAGCGGTGTTGGAGATTATGAGTTTATCGCCGAACCAAACAATGAACCAACGCCGCTTTCTCTCCACTACTGTAAACAACTCGCCCTCTGCTTTGTCCCCGTCGCAAACCACCCCTGTCTGCTCTATACATTAATTATATGCTAGGTATGCAAACACCCCATTCTTGGTGACATCACTGACAAACAATATTAGAATGCAAGCGTCCAAAGCTCCCCGTCCGAAACCCTCTAATTGGCCTCCCCAATCCGCCCACACCGTCCTCATCCGCAATCTCCAACTATTGGAGCTCGATCGATTGGAAGACTGGCCTGGCATCACACTCCACACTCTCTCGCCATCTTCCCAGAACCAACGTCAACGCATCAAAGCTATCGAATGGATCTTGTACCGGCTGGTCGTGCTTTGGGATCCAGAGACCGCTCGGGATGTAGGTTCAGTCTTCCACCCAGCCCGCTTCTCTTGAAGAGTCCAGAAGAACTGAACGATTTCTGCTATCCTAGAAACTTCGTCCCTTTTTCCCTCCGTTAGAGCCTCTACAGTCTGTCAACCTGAGAGCTGCTCTTTTCCGTGTATTGTCCGACCTGAAGAAAAATGGCGATCTGGGCCGTGAGGCCATCCTGCGGAAGTCCATGCTGGACGATTGCAGAGGTGAGAAATTTGACGAACTTCTAGCTGTTTTCTCTACAAATATTCTACGGGGGAGGAAAGTCCAAGACCGCAACCTCGTGACAGAGCTATCTCTGGCTCCGGGCCTGACTCCGCAAGAGTATCCGCTTCTCTTACCGCTCATTCTTGCGCACCGCGTGTCGCTGAATACACTCGGGGCACGTCGAGCCCGTGTGCGCGATACTCATGACAAGTTCTCTCAACTACTTGACAAGAAGAAGGATGAATTGAGCACCCGCTCCAGGCCCGGCACCCATGTCACCACCCAAACTCAAGGGGCTGATCTAGAAACTCTCGCCCGTGAGATAAAAGCCAATTGGCAGGGAAGTGTGGAATTCGCTGATACTTTACTCTATGGGGGACTTAACAGCGGTCGTGATGCCTTTCTGGAGTTGCCGTTCGATAGCGCCTGGTCTCAGGCAAAGAAATCAACAGTTGACGACCTCCGTACCACCTCAAGCCGCCCCGATTTGGTATTGGATCTTGAGACCCGTATTTTGCGACAGAAAGCGCGCTTACAAAGATGGCATCAGTACTCTGCTTCTCTCCGCAATTCAGAAACGGTATCACCATTGAAACATACGGACTCAAAAAAGCCGCCACAGCTCGCCTTCCGTGATCACCAGAATCTCACTATTGCCAGCATTTCTAGATCAGTGCGGCAGCCCGTTGACAGGAGGATGCCAGCGACAAGCGACCAGGATCTCCTAGATTCTATTTCTGAAGCAGTGGATCGCATAAATGGCCCGTCGCCGCAGCGACAGATCCCGTCGGTGTCCATATCTGAATCGAAGCCTGATCCAGAACAGAAGCCATCAAGGCAGATTCCATCAATCACACAACCAGAAATATTCAACCCCCAGGTCGACTCTACAGAGATTGAATCTACCAAAGAAAGACCCAGTGAAGAGAGACCTAGAGGGTCTCACACTCTTATGGAACGAACTCGCAAATCCATGTCCTTATATGATGCACTTCCTGAAATCCCACCACCAGCCGAACCTACTCCAAAGAAACTCCCCAGAGAGCCAACTCCAGAGGAACAATCTAGAGAACCGACACCTGAAGGAGATCCTAGAGAGTCTTTTACTCTCGCCGAACGTACGCGGAAATCAATGTCTTTATTGCCTCCTCCCCGCGAGCAACCCCATCCAAGCCGACGACGGTCTCGGAAATCTCGCGTCTCCTTTCCTGTGAACCAATTTGAAACGCCCCCTAAGGCCGACTTCCCCAGTCGCGCATCGACTCCGCGTGACGAACTTTTCGAGGACCAGGCCGACTACGCAAGCGTCTTTAAGTCCCGGCCACGGATAGCACTGAGCCCTATTACCTCGCCGGCGGTACATGTTAGTCCGATTGGGGACTTTGACCTTAGCGCGGATGTAGAGTCAGAGGATGGTGCGGATGATTTGGAGTATGCTGAAGTGGGATCACCTTCGGCTGCACGTGGGAGATATTAATATTACCTAGTTGGAAATTAGGCCTTCATTCTTAATCTTTTGGCGCCTAGAGAATCGCTATTGGGGTCGCATTCCTTTGCTCTAGTTTGCCTCTAATTTAGAACATTATAGAGGCTGAGTATAATATAATACAACATCCACAGGTGTCCTTCGATATTGTGGCATGAATTGCACTGTAACCGACGCCGCTCCATACCTGTCCTTCCAAGAATCAAACGCCTTTCAAGATAAATCAACCGTCGAACTCCCTACGTGCCTCTTGTATTCCGAGTGCGCCTGCGCTTTTGGGGTGGAGGGGGTACCTCTTCAACATATTCTTCCTCCTCCGACAATCCGTCACCAGAAGCAGGTGATTCTTCTTTAGAAATGTTCGGAACCCGTCGGAGGGGAGGCTGCCTCTCTTCCACAATTAAATTCCCATCGTCAGCATCATCATCCCCACCAAGAAGGAATCCGCCTCCACGATCAGCGGCCTCTTCTTCATCCATGAGCCCCGCCGGGTGCTCTGGGATCCCTGGCCTCGCGGATGCCGACGCTTGTGTTGCTGCCCTCCGACTCGCAAATGGATTATAGGCATCAGGCAAGTGCCCTTCCTCATCTTCAGCATACTCTTCCCTAACACGCTCGGCAATGCGCAACCCAAACAAGAACTTGCGCCAAGTTTGCAAGATCTTTGCTTCAGCCTTTCGTTGCTCCTTGCGGCGTTTCTCCTCGTTATCTGCGCGCCACGCATCCTTTACGAGGTCTTTATTCTCAGCTGCGACAACGACCCCCTCGATGACGGGGACAGCCATTTGAGAGCCGAATTCGAACCCCGTAACTGCCTCGGCGTAGTCGATTCCGAGCCTTTTGCAGATTCGGGCGGTTCCCGGGAATGGAATATGCACTGCGCCTCTGGGGACCATACGCGGGACAAAGCAATCGATGTTGCCGTAGTCGTTTTTGGGAATCACTCCGTCAACGATGGGTGGGGGGATTATTTCCTGGGTCTGTTCAAAGGAGTAGAGACCCTGAAGGGGCTTTTGGCCTGTTATCCGTGCTTGTTCGTCGACCTCGCGCTTGCGAAGTAGAGTGACAGCACGAATGGGGACACGCTTGAGAGGTATTGCGGAAGCTCGCGGTTCGCGGCCTTCTTTGTGCCAACTCTCAGCGGTTTGGCATTTGACTACATCGGAGCGGCGGTATACGTTTTCGGCTTTGGGACTCTCAGCTACAGTTGCCGTGCCCTTTCCTTTAGACTTGTTCTTCCCTCCTGGGGTGAACGTGCGGACAGCCTGGGACCCTGGTCGAAGGGCTTCTTCACGGCGGAGAAAGCGTTCTAACACGAACTCGGTGGATGTGCGAAGGCTCTGTAGTGTATCAACAGTCTCATTGGTTGGTTTCGCTTTCGTCGGTCGATTCGGGGCTAGATCTTTGGCATCTTCTATATCATCAACGGCGGTACGATCCTTGTATGAACGTTCGTAGTTGCGTAGAAGACAGTGAAACCAGTCCATGGGATCGTCATCGGGGCCTTTCTTTCCCAGCCGAAAACCCTTGGTCTTCCCAGGCCAAGTTCGTCGACGAAGATACCGAGTTGTGACCTCTTTAGCAGTCCTATCAGCTGAAAAGGCAATGACGTAGCATATTACCTGTTTAGCCTTCTCAGCTTTGGCGCCGCGGGGTTCCCAGGCAGCTTGGAGCTCTTGGGTAGCTGCCACCGCATTGGGGAGTACCAGTGGGTCGACAGAGATAATTTGATGCGTAACTGGAGACGCCACTTCCGTCCAGTAGATGGGAAACGGGAGATCGTAGTCGGGTCGTTGGACGGATTTGCGGTTGCGCGAGGATGGTTCAGTCTCGTCATCGTCCTCATCTTCGCTACCGCTATCTAAAAACCCACCACCATCTGATTCAGTCTTTGGCGTGCCTTGGGATTTTCCGTTTGACTTTGAAGAAGTGTAGGATTCTGCTTTGGTCCAGCCAAAGCCCAACGGTTGTAGACTGGCAACAAGTCGAGCTTCAATCGAAAGCGCACGAAGTAGTGCGGTAAAGAGTTGTGCACCAAGATCGCGAGAGCCTTCCATGCGCTCGGCAGCCTGCCGGAAGTCTTCAACGTTGGAAATCCGCTCCCCGTACAATTCCGGATCGTGCTCGTCATGGTGAAACGATGCTATTTGCGTCTGTAATTGAGACATGGGCCGATAGCCATGTTTTCGTAGCCCCGGTGTGGTAATTTTGAATTTGCTCTTCCAGTATGCAGCAAGGATACGCATCAAATGGATTATGGGATCGCCATTGCTCAGATCAGGTTGCCCGACTTCTTGCCGCGACGAGTCTTCTCCCCAATCGCGTTGTTGCGACGACACCTTGCGCTTATTCTGTTTCCCCTTCTTCCCCTTCTTCAAAGGCGGCTCCTTTGGCGGCTCTGGTGGCTCAAGCCCAGATGCCCGGCGCCATTTCTGTACTTCCTTTTGAATAGCAGGGGGCAGTTTCTGTCGGAGGATTTCATGGCATTTTGAGTCGTTGGCCCAGTCGTTGCGTACTACGTTATGGGCAAATAGACACTGCACATGCAGGCGGTGGATTAGAATTCGGATTTGGCGTTCAATCTTCGATGGTGCTTTCTGGCCTTGGAGGATGTCCTCTAGATGCACCTCATTTCGATCTAGGGTCAACTCCAGGTTTTCCTGGGGGGAGACAAAGCTTGTGGCGGGGGCGGCGGAATGGATTGCGTCTTCCCAATCGACCTCATCGGATTCTGCATCCTCGGAGTCAGATAAGCCCTCCTTGTTTTCTTCAGTTATGGCATTGTCAACATCGGTGGGGACGGGAGTTAGGGAAGAGTCGGAGATGGGTGTTAAAGATTCGCTCGGGGCGGTCGTGGTCGCGGCAGCGGCATGGCGTTGAGCAGGGGGGGAATCCTCAGAGGACTGGCGTTTAGAGGGAATGAAAGGGGGCATCCAGCAGAGAGGGAAGCGAAAGACGATGGAACAAAAGGTAGAGAGATTGCATTTGACGGAGATGATGTGATGAAGAACCGAGGTTGAGGACCGGAGATGATGAAATCGGGGGAGGGTCTGGGACTCTGGAGTATTTAATTGCGTCAATCCTGCCCCTCATTCCCCATTGCTCTGTACTCTCATATTTCGCATCCATACCTACCTCGTTTTACACCACAGGGCTTATATTATTCACGATGGAGGCAGTCAAGCGCTTCTTCTCGTCTCCCCGATTCGCCGTCGCTGGAGCCAGCAATGACTCTCACAAGTTTGGCTACAAACGTACGAACCCTACGAATGCCATGCGACTATGCATACTGACTTTGATAGTTCTCGCCTGGTACCATCAACACTCACTGCCAGTGACTCCTCTGAATCCGCGGTCTCCAAGTATTCAGCTGTCGCCCGCGCATTCCTATGACACCGTCGCATCGCCGCGGCTGCTGTCCTCCCCTTCACAGACTTCGTTATCTGTGGTGACTCCCCCGGCAGTTACTCTTCCTCTACTCCAGGAGGCTCACTCGGTCGGCATTCCGGCTGTTTGGTTGCAGCCAGGGACCTTTGACAATGCGGTACTGGACTTTGCGCGATCGCACTTTGAAGCGGTGATAGCCGGTGATGGCGGTCGCGGATCGGAGGGATGGTGTGTGCTAGTGGACGGAGAAGAGGGATTAGAGGCAGCTGGCGTAAACTGGACAAGCCAGAGACTGTAATTTCATAATTCCAGCGGTGTAACCCCCGGATGTTGAGGGTTGTTGGGAGGATGTTAATTTGGTGGCTGGGATTCGCTGGGTTTCTTCACTTCTTCTGTTTTGGGGGAAACTCCGCCCTTCCAGATTTCTCTCCTCTTTCTCACCGTCTCCAACTTTCCTCTCTTTAACCACCTGTCTACATCTCATGAATTAATGAATCAACGAATAAACTATTTTGATGATAATGCCGTCCTCCTCTTTTCTCCTCGACTCACCTATCCCTCCACAGCTTGATCTCGTCGGTGCTCCGTCTCCTCTCTTCCAGGTTCCACCAACGCCTTCAGCCTCGTCCGCTCTATATCGCTCAATATCTGTTTCCCAGCGCAAAAGATGTCGCCCAGAGCTGGAGCGTGGTCGACGAGTGAGTGTGCGCCAAACGCCGCCTCATCGTCCGCCACCATTAGTGAATGACTTCTTCGCCGACCTCGACGAGTCCTATGATCACGAGGACCATGATTTTCACCGTCCCAGTCGCTATCGTAACTACCCACAAGCGTCTCTCGACGCAAGCCTTACAGACTCCGGCAAGGAACCTGATGACTTTCGTCGCAAACGGTGTCGTCTAGAGGACCCTTCCCTAGTCATTGCTGCATCACCTTCTGGTATAGACGAAAAGGCCACGGCTCCCGAGCAAATGCCGACCGAAGCTAGGCCGGTGCGCTGGAGCCGCGCTGTCCTGAACGTGGTGGGAAAAGTTTGGGATTTTTGTTGGTCTGGGCCTTTTCGCGGATTCTATGCTGGTGGCGGTCGAGGGTATCCGCTTGACCCTCCAAGCCCTCCTTCTGAAGAAACTCAACAAGGCTACACACCCGCATTCTATGCTCCCCGACCTTCATCTTCTTCGACACTTCCTCCAGCCACCGAGAAAAGCATAGTCTCTGTACCGGGCGAGTATCCGCTCGAGACCAGAGAGGACGTACTCCACGGGAACTGGGTCATGGTTTCCCCAAGCGAAGCTGCCGACAGTTACAACAGCCCATCTACTCGGCCCCGTTCGCGAAAATGCCATGTGCCTCGTAATCGGGTGGTCCATCGGCGGACGCCATCTAAACGATCACTTGTACCCCATCCTACTTCGACGTTTTCGGCCCCTGCAAAGCCGCACGAAAGCCCAGTCTCGGTGGAAACACAGCGCTACCTTGCAAAACAACGGCGAATGGAACGCGAAGAGGACGCCAGCTTGCAACGCTTGAATCGTCAGCTACAAGCCATGATCCAGGAAGGAAAGCAGGCGCTTGGGACGCGCGTGGAGATCGACGATATGGACATGGAAGACTGAAAATCATTTTTACCCTCTTATACCCAACACTCTCTTATGCACTTTGTATCCTTGTTCTTTCGTTTAACTGTACTGCTTGTTTCCAGCCCTTATGACCGATGACGAGACATGAACATGACAGCCAACAATACTTCATTCTTACTCTATATGATAATCCCAGTGATAGCTAGCGGTAACAATGACCTCGCACGAGAATGAATCCAAACATCAATATCAAGATGAACATGAACCAGCAACTCCACCGCATCCTATTTAATCCTGCCAATAGTTCTTAGGCCTTACTCCCCCCTCCCGTCAATTTACCCACTGGCTGCCCTCCTAGGGTGAGGCCGTCGGCAATAGATTTAGCCAATCCACCATTGGTTATTGCGCTCAATAAAGTCGTATCATCAAGACGTTTGTCCTGTAATCCAAGTTAGCTGAGCCACGCGGTTCCCATCTACGCCCCACTGAGCGGAAGAAGAGGTGAACTTTGAAGATGGGGGGGAACAAACCATTTGTAATGGGGCTGCCATTCCAACGGACACAAGCAGAGGGATAATGATGGCAGGGAGAGAGAGCTTCATTGTTGTGGTTTATGGTTTGTGGTTTGCTTGGACTTAGGATCTGTTTGGCTTGGGTAGCGTTGGGCTCGATTGATTTTCGACGAGAGTAGTAGTGTACAGTTCAAAGATAAAGATAACGTGGTACTTGGGGAGACTTATATCATCCCTTGAGCAAAACGTGAGAGACTCTTGTTTATGCAGGGGCGAGTGGGACGCCCCTTGTGCTCCATTATCGCGCACCGCGTCCCGCATTCCTCATCTCGTGGCGCCGGGATCCGAGTCTATTACTGATGCGTGCGCGGTTTGAAACAAGGGAATCAGGGAAGGGATTGTTTAAGCTTTGTGGCAGTCTGTTTTGTTGCAATATATCCGTGTTTGGCATTTGCTGATGCGGATGTTTATACTTTATAGATAGATTGTAGGAAAAGTCTAATCAGCACACCTTGGAGATTACTATGCTAGGGGCTTCACTTCATATAACTTTCCAGCCTCCAATGACCACTTACATATACGAAATCACTGATTAGCAAACCGCAGCCCAGCCCCCTTCCTAATCGCCCCATACACACCCGCAATGTCCCCCTTCTCGCCGCTCTCCTCCTTCACGACCTTCAAATAATCATCCGTCACCTTCACACTGGGCAACGTCATCCCCGAAGCCCCCGCCAGATTCGCCGCATGCCTTAGATCCTTCCTCGCCAGATCAACCGCAAAAAGCGGCTCCTCACGCTTAAAGTAGTCCCCGCTGGTCATGCGCTCTGCATACTTCGCAAACGGGCCAGGGAACATCGTAGACACCCACTGCTTGTAAGCATCGGTGCCCAGTCCCGATTTCTCAGCCACTACCATGCCCTCGGCGAGTGTTTCGACTGTGTTGAGGATGAATGTGTTGCCGAGGACTTTCATTAGAGAGGCCCGGCCTACGTCGTCGACGCTCTCGGGGCCGAGATCTAATACGGCCTTTGAGGTTACGCCTACAAGGAACGGCTGGATGCGGTTTATGGCTTCTGGAGAGCCAGCAGGTACAACGACCATTTGGCCGGCGTCGGCGGCATTGGGCGCACCGAAAACCGGGCAGGCGATGAAGGTTGAGCCGTGGGAAGCGAGGGTGGTGTGTGTGCGTCTAGATGTGTCTGGGTGAACGGTGGAGCAGTCGACAATGATTTTGTCTTTGATACTGAGACTGGCATCTGATATAATGGTGCTGATAATCTGGTCGAGAGCTGCATCGTCACCAACGCAGATGAATGTGATGGAGGCGTCCTTGATGGCTGCGGGGAGCGATGACGCAGCGATGGCGGATTGTGGCTTCTCAGAGGTGAGAGACGCTGCGAAGGCCTCTGCTTTCGAGGTTGTCCTGTTGTATAGGATCAGAGGTGATTGCTGGGGCCCCTTCAGAGCGATGTTTCGGCTCATTCCCTGGTTTCTCTTAGCAACTTGTACGTGTGGAGGGGCAGTTGACGTACTCGGCCGATGTTCCCAAGGCCAATCCAGGCTACTGTTTCCGAGGCCATCTTTGTACGTGATACTGAAGTGATCAGATTCTAGTATACTAATAGCGATGATGAATCTTGGTCAAATCGATGAGAAGTTGCGAGTTGGACCAGTCCTCTTATTATGTTGCGGTTTAGAGATTAGCCGGAGGAGTTGCTTACGAACAAACCCGACTTTGAGTCATGATTGATCATCTCTACTCCACCACGGCCCAGAAGCTTGTTTTTGAGTCAAGACCTATTTGGCATTCTAGCTTACCATGTACCTACGTTGCTGTCTCGAGGTCATCTTTGGGAGTGAAATATGGCAGGTTGGACGCCGTCGTGAACCCGCCGACTCCCCCGAAGCTGCATGGTTTTAGAATAAAGACAAATGATTCAGTCAGCTGCAGCTGTGATGAAATTAGAACTATGGTGGTATCTGGAAAGAGTAAACTAAAAACGCAAGTGAACCAGTCTAGGCTTGCATCAATTCAATGAGCTTCTCGCACGCCACTACTCGTCCTTCCACAGGCCCGAGCTTTGACGCAATAGTTTTCGCCTTCTCTTGTATCGTGGATGCCTCCTCACCATGTAAGATACGGAGGAATGCATCACCTAGTTCGAGTCCATTGATTGCAGGTGCGGTCTGTTTGGTCCCCCAAACCCCCACACCGAAGTACTCAACGCGCGCTGCGTATTCATATGTGTCGTACCAAACAGGGATCACGATCTGTGGTACACCGGCCCTAAAAGATATCAGCTAAGGCTCTAATCTAATTCAATCCAAGCCCGACTTACCGAATAGCTTCGTTGTATGAGTTTGCCCCTCCATGGTGAACCATACAACATACATTCCCGCTTTGGAGAATAGAAATCGGCTCGACAGGCAGCCATTCCTCTATACGAACGCGCCCAGAGGTCACTTCAGCGAATATACTCTTCAGAGACATGGGTACCCAATCTGCAGCGTCATTATCACGGTCAACTTTCAGCTTCCAAAGCACCTGAACGTCCGGCCTTGCATCCAGCAGAGTGCGTACTCCATGCGCGAAATTCCTCGCTTGCTCGCTATTGAAGCACACATTGGATCCAAGATTCACCAACACCGTGGGTCTCTGCGCCAACCATTTAGCTAGTCCCGGATTCTCGTCACTAAGAGGGCGATGGGGACGCAGGATTGGGCCGCAACGAGTAATATGACCTGGAACGACGCACGGGAAATCGATTTCCGCGTGGGAAGCCAACAGCAGTTGAACGGGGTTTCCTTCACTGGTTGCCATGATTGGGTACGGTCCCTCAATGCCTTCGGCATGGCGGCGGTCATTGATTGCCTTGATAGCGGGTGACCTCGCCATTTTAATTGCCGCATTGATAGCGAGGAGGGCGTTCGGTAAGATGTATTTCCAGGGGACAGGGAATGGGTATCCAGAACTGAGACTATTGACGGGTGTTAGCATGAGAGATGTTCAAAGATGGATACAGAGTCGCTCGGTATCTAGCGCACTTACATTGGGTATTTCCAAAGATTGCCTAGCATAGGCTGTATAACGTGGTCTTTGGCGGTATTTGGACTCAAGACTGCGTACTTGCAGCCCAGTTGGCGACACGCATCTATGGCCTGGGCGAGAAGCGGTTCCACAACGACAATCGATGGATTTACTTTCTTGATGATCTCAACACATCTCTGATAGACTGCGATGTATTCATCACCAGTCCAGGGTGCCATAAACTCAAACAGTTTCGGATACGAATCAAGAGCGCCAAAGAACCCGATTTGGTGAGCCGCAAAAGAGTCACTGAGTGGCATTGTTGCCGTTGCAGCATCGACCATGCACCGGCCTGGGAGAGAATGGAAGATTGCTGCTGGAATGGATGTGGACTGTGTTAGAGCAACGGCTTGGGAATTCAGCTGGGATACGGCATTTTCTAGTTGCGGAAATGAGGCGATATGGACTGTGTATGATTGTCGGATGAGGAATTCATGGGCAACCGTTAGAACGGCCGTAGCCTGTCCCAGCTCTTTGTTGGTCAAGAATAACACTGTTTGGGTCGCCATTGTAAATGTTGGATAGGAAGAAAAAGAGAGGGGTGAAGACAGCTGGGGTGGGATGTTTTATAGGAACACCAGTGGCAGTGAATGGAAGCACCAAGTGTTATGCATTTGCAGGGTACTATTGGATAGGGTCAGCGCCAACTGAAAGGCACAAGGCAGCGTGTTCACTTCAGAGCCTCACAAGTCAGTCGCACAATCCTTGGTCAGTTTAAGCAAACGATACATGATATTTCGGTTGCTTCTTGCTGTTTGAAAACCATTGTACCCCTTCATGAGCTTTGTCTTCATTCAGATCATTACTAGCTATTTGACATTGAATCCAGCAACGTAAAATAGCCCAGTTAGCTATCAAAGAGCCAGGTGTACTTCGAACAGCCCTAACAAATAAGCACCATATGAAGGCGTAACAAAAACTTTGATAAATCTGAGCAACAGACCAGTGATATCCAGAGATCTAACGGGCCAGTGGGCCCAAAGCCAAACTCCATGTTGTCTAACAGTCACTGTCCTCGGCCTTGACACTGACTCTCCATCCACCAGGAACTTCAAAGTCGCCTGCGACTTCTCCATCTTTAGTGCACTGGTTTAGAACATCCTCAGCCCCGTCTGCGAGAAGCCTCCGGCTGGAGATCCTCTGAGGCTCATCGTACTGGCAGAATACCTGAATTAGATCTCGCTTTTCTAATAATTGAACGAAAAATGTCATATACTCACATCGTTGCACCAGTAAATAGCAGCTCTCGAGAGACAGGCCAATCTGCCACAGTGCTTTGGGTCTTGTTGAAGACGCGGCTTACCCCTCGAGTGTCGAATCCTCTCGACACCATTTTTGACTAGCTTCGCGTCAACGCTCCAACGTTTATTATTCTGACAGGTGACTGTTCCTTCGGGTTCTCGTTCTTTGAAAGGATCTGAGTCTTCATTTTCAGTTTCGGGGCCTTTAAAACCCTTCCAGTCCTCATCGAAATCGGGGGTTCGTTTCTTCAATTTGTCGTAAACTTCTTCAATGGCACCGTCGATAATAATGCCCGGCGAGTCGGGGAGCGCTTGGACTTCCAATCTCAACTTGAAATCCCAGTTGGTTGGTTTTTGACTGTCCAGAACTTCGTCAAGTGTAGGATTGGAGGGATACTGGGGGATGACCGTGTGGTTAGTATATATTCAAGGGCTAGGTCTAGCAGGCACGTACACGGGAATCCGGCTTGATGGGATGGTCGCCTAGAGTCTCGTCGAGGGTAGGAGCTGTGGGGACCTATATATATCAGTCTTGATGTTTGTTCAGCCAGGTTGTAATAACAAGCACGTACACCCAAGGCCACAAAGGCAAAAAGCGCCACTAGGGCAATACCGAGAAGTCGATACATTGTAAATACAAGTGTAATTGAGAGTTCAAGCAAACGGTTATAGCTTGAGAGGGTACCTCCACGGGGTAGGGGTGAAAACGAATCTTCAAAGGATGACAGCGCCCTATTTATGATAGTGTGAGACCTGGCTTCATAATATATCCTCTCTAGAACGTCTGTGTAGTGAACAATGCATGCGTGAAGAAAAGTGGGATGGAAATTCGTCTTAACTCTTAACTAGATGATTGGCCGACGAACATTAATGAAACAGGGGGGTAGCTCTGTTGTTCTCGGACCGACTGTTCTACAGTCAAGAGAAGCCGCGTAGTGCGAATATGGAGTTCTACAACTCAAGTTAGACTTAGCTTGTGGACTCGAGAGTTAGAGGAATTACCATCGATGCATATCTCATAGCTGGAAAACGATTCTTCATCACGATGGACAAGTACGGGGAAGTTGGAATTTAGTTTGGTATCTTCGCGAACCCGAAATTTCAGGCCGACGTTTTTGTTTTGGTCAACCCACAGAATGTCAGAGCCTTGGTTTCTCGAGGCGTCACCGCGATGTCGAGAATCTTGTGGAGAATTTGCTTGGGTCTTGAGCCAATCTCGGAACAGTCTCACCACACCATCCTCAACATTCACAGCACTTAAGAGGGCAGTCGTTCCGGGGAAAACCTTCACCACGTTCGCCACAACGCATAGTTGGGAGAAGTCTTCAAATCCTTCTATGGTAACAGGTCGCCGTACTGTGAGTGGATCGTCAAAGGCGTCCTCAGTATCTTGAACAATCAGCACATTGAATATCGTGGCATCTGCAACGTCAGAGGTACCATACCCAGGTGCTCGCCCGGTGCCACATCAGCCCAGCCCTCCTCTTCTGATTCTACAGGTCTAAATATCGAGTACACCGAGCCCAGTCTCCCAAGTTGCTTCGCCGTGTCGATGTTCTCGTAGAGCGAGCCCTCTCCCTCGTACTTGTCACTTAAGCTAGGCGTGCCGATGTATTTACAGAAGACGTGGGGTTCAGTCAGTTTAGACGTCGGGTGAAAGCATTCCAGAATCAGTTTATACTCTGTCAAGGACGCCGTAAGAAGAAGTCGGTAGTGTAGGAGACGTAAGACAAGGGCATGGAAGCGTTGAGAAACAGTCGCCAGATGGAGGAGCTCGCGGGTGGTTAAGGGCGTCAGAATTTGCACGAATACCTAGTCACATCAATCAGGATATTCTCCATTGCTAGATATATTATGAATCACACCTCATTCGGTAGGGAATATAGATGCAGGTCTGGCGTCGAATTGAAAGCCATTGTGAAGACTTGGTCATTGCCTGGAGTGCGGGATAGGTGTGGGAGAGTCACCTCGGTCTGAGGCGAACTGAACCACGTCCTTGAGCGTTAATATTACATGTAGGAAAAGCAAAGGGCCTTCGTAATCATCTGGAGGTTTATCCAAAGAGCGGTAAGACATGAACGTATCCGCAAAGTACTCAGCACTTACAGCTCACAAGACCCTTACGTCATTGCTGCCATGGAAATCAGGCAAAAGTCGGCCCGAGTCGGCGAACGCCGAAGAGATTTGATCGTTTCGGCTCCCCGTTCCTGGCTCCATACAAAAACGAAGGCATACAAGGGTTAATATTCCGATGCATAGATGGTATACTACTTAGCAGTTCAAGTTTCTAAAAAACGTTTGCTACATGCGCGGATCATGGTCGTCGAACGTGCAATCCGCTGTATCTGATAAATGCACCACAGCAAGCAGATGAAGCGTAGAAATCCTTGTAGCCCCGGGCTCGCAGTCAATTAGCCCGAAGGAAATTACCCGGTCCAAGCAATAGCAGCGGCTCCAGAGTGGTATTCGGACAGGAAACGCCCCTCCACGTCCGGAAGATTTTACCCTTCGGTTCCCCGCGGCCTTCCCCTCCAACATGCCCTTTCAACGGCTCGCTTCTAATAAATCTTTTTCTCTCCCGAGTTCTACTTGATCTTATTTTTAAGCTCTCGATCAATCACTATACAAATTCGCAATGGTTGAAAGTGTTCTGGACGACATCTCCCACCGGAGATACAACCCCCTCACTGGAGCATATGTTCTTGTCTCCCCCCACCGCACCAAGCGTCCCTGGCAGTAAGTCCCGTCTTGATGTCGAGCATACGCCCGTCCAGTACTTTGTTTTTGGGGACTGCGCGATGTATGCCAATGTCGCCTAAAATGTTAATCATGCGAACAGAGGCGCACAGGAAACTCCCTCCAAGACAACACTCCCTGACTACGACGCTACCTGCTACCTATGCCCAGGTAACAAGCGTGCACAGGGAGACCATAATCCCAAATACGACAAGACATTTGTCTTCGTAAACGATTACAGTGCTGTCAAAGAGGAACAGGCCACTTACCAGCCAGAATCCGGAGACGGTAAGCTCATCTTGCAGTGAAACACCGCAAAGACGGCCACCTTCTAAGTGATACCCCAGATGTTGAATCGTTCTTCCTCCGCGCCGACCCAGTAACTGGGAAATGCTACGTGCTCACCTTCTCTGCCGCCCACAATCTGACCCTAGCCGATCTCAACCCCACTGAGATCGTCCCTGTCATAAGCGCGTGGACAGACATTTACATCGCACACCTGTCGCCCAACTCCCCGCTCGCGGCAGCCGCATCCAAAATCACCATCTCCCCCGACTCCCCTGCTGCAAGCCTCGCCAAGCCCAAGGAGCAATACCGCTACATGCAAATCTTTGAAAACAAGGGCGCGGCCATGGGCTGCTCAAACCCGCACCCGCACGGCCAGATCTGGACAACTAGCTCTCTCCCCGAAGAACCAGCCGCCGAACTCCAGCAGCTACAAAAGTACCGCCGCGAGCACGGCGGAAGACACATGCTAATCGATTATGCCACGCTCGAGAGCAAGAAGCAGGAGCGTGTGGTCTTTGAAAACGAGGCATTCTTGGTCGTCTGCCCCTGGTGGGCTGTGTGGCCCTTCGAGACCATGATCGTTAGCAAAACGCACAAGCGTGCCCTTGTTGACCTCAATGAGAACGATAAGGCGCAGCTCGCTGAGGCGATTGCCGAGGTGACCAGGCGGTACGATAACCTGTTTGAAACGCATTTCCCCTATAGTATGGGCATTCATCAGGCGCCGCTGGAGGGGACCGAGGAGGAGATTGAGGCGTCGCATCTGCATTTGCATTTCTATCCACCTTTGTTGCGAAGTGCGACAGTGAGGAAGTTCCTTGTTGGGTAAGTTTATCTCCATTTCTTTTTATCATTTGTCGATGCTGGTTGCTAACAGGTCGTTATAGGTATGAGTTGATGGCTGAGCCTCAGCGTGACATCACCCCGGAACAGGCAGCCGCAAGGTTACGGGGTTGTGGGGGCGAGCTGTATCGGAAGAAGCTGGATCTCTAAGCCGTCAGATCGGTTTCACTTAATGTAGTAGTATGATGTGTGATAGATGAGAATAAAAAATGTGGAAGAGCCCATTCATCAATTAGTAGGATCTACACACGAGACAAACCTAGGCACCGCATGACGCTTTAAAGATATGCATTTGTGAAGCTAGAGGTGGAGGCGGGAGAAGCACAGGAAAAACAGTGGAATTCGTCAAGAGACCCGATCAGTCATCCGGAGTCACATAATATTTCTTTTCGATTTCTAAATATGAAACCCTATTTCATTTTCCATTGCCCAATATCATATGCTAACCCGCCGGAATAGCAGTGCGTGCAATGCAGGAACCCAGAGCCGAACAAGGAAATCGCAAAATTAGAAGACAAGAGCGGCACCCTTGGTCTTCTTGTCACCACTGTAGAAAATTAGGTTAGCAACCAGACAGGTATTTTCGTGGTTCCCAGAGGATAGCGTACCCAAGCTCGAAGTGCTTGCAACGCTTCAGAGAGAGCTGCTTCTTGGTCTTGCACGCAGTGCACTCGAGACGAAGGACGACCTTCTTGGTGGTCTTGGCCTTCTTGTGGAAGACGGGCTTGGTCTGACCACCATAACCGCTCTGCTTTCGGTCGTAACGGCGCTTACCCTGGGCGAACAGAGAGGCCTTGATTGTGGGAGACGTATCAGTATTCGTTCAATTTTTGATGTCGGTGGGAGTCGGTATGATTCACCTTTCCAGCCTTGTACTGGGTGACCTTGTGCTGGGTGTGCTTGTGGCACTCCTTGCCCTTGCAGTACGTCTTGCGGGTCTTGGGAACGTTGACCTAATGGCACGAGAGAAATTCGTCAGCTTCCGGAGTGGATTTTATTTGATCGAACAATAGTTCCGCCACGTCTTGTCAAGTCCCTGGTCTTCGAAGAAATATTGATTCCAAGCGGAGTGAAATCGCACGGCAGTTTCGATGTCGTTGGGGCGCTGTCGAGATTATACTGAAAATAGACAGTTCTTCGATCGCGCACTGTCATACTGTAGATATTTCGGGACTGCTCATCATAAAGAGGCATCCCACAATCTGTCCGCCACTCTCGCACAACAGCGTCGGAATTTTGCATCGACCATTTCCACGTCACATTATACACTCGGTGTTATAATCGTCTTCAGGGTTCTCCGTCATCGTTTCATGGTCGTCTTATGTCGTCGTAACCGGTGCATCGAATCGTCCGCGAACACTCAATTTTTTCAAATCGAATTTCTCCAAAACCCAGGGACCGACAGCGCACACTCAGATAAAGGATTCTCGTCTCTTACCATTTTGACTGATTTCGCCGGCTCGCGGGTTTGCTGGTCGTTAGTTGTCTCTTGTCGGGGAGATCAGTTCGGGTCAGGCGTGGTTGTGGGATTTCGTTTCGCTTAGACCGGCCCTACCCAGCGTGTGGGTGATCTAACCATTTTTGGCTGTGCCAAGACATCTCTCCATTTTGCTGCTCGTATTCTTCGCCTCAGGCATTCAACATACTCCAGCATCTTTCTAGGAGTACGGATTTCTATTCTATCCTAACTTTGACCAGAATAAATTCGAATCATATCTTTACCAAATCATTCAAATCCCTTCCCAATAAGCACTTTCTCCCCGCCCCCATACCATGACGTTCCCTTATTAAGCTCCAGCCCTTGCTCCTGCCCAATAACCCACTCTCCCTTCACCGGCATATCTTGAACTTCACTTCCTCCCGGCCAATATCTCTCCCTCAACATCACATTAATTTTCTCTATCCTCTCCACCAATGCAACCACTCTATCCTTGTCTATTGCCTCACCATCTCGCAAAAACCCATCTTGACTGATAAATCTCGCAATCGTAACATGCGCTGAGGGCACAACATATCTCGCCGCCAAGCCAATTCCAGAGCGGAGAACCTGAGCCGCCAGGTCTCGGCGTAGATTGTGGTAAGTGTATGAATCATCATACTGTTTTTTATCAGTGGTGCCACTTGTTGCTGTAGGCTCGTCAGCGGCAGGCAAGAAACTCAACGCCATTGCTGAGGCATCATAGCTAAGAATTGGCTTGACGAGGCGTGCACGGTGGTGCTCAGATGGGTAGTTGACGAGCTTTAGCGCGGTCCCGTCTTGTAAGAGCTGTGCAGCTAGAGCGTTTATTTCTTCTTGGGTACGTGAACTGGCGATCTCCAGTGTTGTGATGTGCAGAGATTCTAGTGGTGAGAACCAGATCGCTGTTTAAGTAGGTCAGTAGTCTACGTAGAAGCAGCTGATATCTTAGGAGTTGGGAGTACAAACTAGGCGCAACATCGCGGATCTCATGTTGGAGCTCAGCAACTAATTCCTTGATATGTTTTGGCGGTCGAGCGTAGAGATTGAGATTGTGCCGGTGGTCGGCAAAGACATCTTCAGTTGGCGCTTTAGACTGTTCGACTAGTTTGCTCAGAATTTCGTCAATATTCCAGCCGGGAAATTTTTCATGGAGGAGTTTCTCTCTGGATTGGGCGTTTCTGTTTGTCCGATGGGTTTCGTATCGGGCTTGGATTTTATTCTCAAGTGGGGGTTAGCAGTGGTTGTTGGTAACTGAGGAAGATAGTACTCTACCGGGCTATTCTGACAGTCGAAAACTAATTGGTCAAAAGGATTTATTACAGCCTCTGGGAGGTCAGAGCTAGAGAGTGTCATAGCTTCGCGCGTTTCTGTGGATGAGTTTTGGGAGGGATCTGGATTGTGTGTTGCATCTGGAGAAGCTGGCTATATATAGCAGCGGGAAGCGCGGATTTCCCCAGCTTCCTGCAAGTATGTATCTCCCCACAGCATCTTCACACAAGATCTGAAAATATGGTTTAAAGCAGTTATTATGCCATAGACTCTTTGGAGAGACCATTCAATTACTTTTTGGGATATTAAAATGCGGTCGGGACTGTATTTCAACATTGCCTTTAAATTCCTGGTCCTTCCCCGATGAGCCTATTCAACCTTCATGTCTGAATAGAGCTGATTTTGAAGACTGTGACCTGGCAATCTACAAAGAGACAATAGGACCATTCTCCCAGTATAAATTCCTGATTAGATTCTGCCTCTATGCAACCTCTTGCTCATGCTAAGCGAGCGGCGCGGAACATCGGACTGGCAGCTCGAGAACAGGTCGTTCAGGGACTCACTTATAACGACCACAGTCACTACACTAATAGTCTTCTGGAGTACTCTCTATGGTAGAGGAACCAGGGAAATCCCGAGACCAACCTATCAAACGGTCATGGAAGCGTTGCTCTCGGATGTCGATGATCCTCCTGATCCTCTACGAGGTGTATTTTAGTGAGTAAATGCTGCATCTGCGTTGGATACCGCCCGCCAGACAGCCCAAAGGGCAGTTCTATTACTGGCTCCAATCCGAACCGTGACGAGCTACAAGGGAGTTTGAAATACAGCACGTTGGACTTGAGAAGGTGAGTACGTATGAATCGAAGGAAATTTCAAGAAAAGAAATAGATAGCGTGGCCGGAATCATAGCCCAAATTTCAAACTCTCAAGAAAACAAACCATGCTCAAATATTGAGCATATGGAGATTTGTGATCAGAATATGGAAGCCATTATTGAAAAGAGCCTTGTAGTCTCCAGGCAGTTTGCAGCCTGCACCATGGCACACGCCTTGCCAGCCCCACCCAAACCCCGCCGCCGCGAGCTTCCCTCACTCTTATCCGGTCCATCTCTATCAGCAACTTCTTCCCCTCATCGTCTCCGTTCTCTCCGAACAACCACTCAGCTCGTTTTACTCGAAATCTCCTTGATTAAGTTGTTGCAGCGACACACTTCTCAAAATGCTGATTAAGTAAGTATCAACTGCACACTGCATTTACATGCAGCCCGCTAACGGGAGATCTCCAACCCTCCAGGGTCCGTACACTCACCGGCAAGGAGATCGAGCTCGATATCGAGGCCGACTACAAGGTACATACAAATATTGCTACGATGGGCTGATACTCTATCGCTTTGCGCTCCGAGTTGCTGATCTACCCACGTCAGGTGTCTCGGATAAAGGAGCGTGTTGAAGAGAAGGAGGGTATCCCGCCCGTGCAGCAACGGTTAATTTTCGGTGGAAAGCAAATGTATGTGGAAGTAAAGTGCTGCCTAGCATTTCTATTCTATCATGCTTACCTTTTTTTCTCACTCCGCAGGGCCGACGACAAAACCGCCCAAGACTACAATCTCGAAGGTGGCGCGACGCTACATCTTGTCCTTGCTCTCCGAGGCGGCTGCAACGCTCTGTAGACGTCCTGTTTTGCCGGTTATGTGAATGACTTACCTCCCTGATGCGCATGCGAAACACCCTTGCCCTCTGCCGCGGTGAAAAGCTGGAACATCGGAGACAGGTTGCGTGATAGCAATGAGGGGTTGAGGGGGTTGCGGGAGCGCTTAATATACCCAGTTTGAAGACGAGCGTGGTTATCATGATATCGATGTTCTGGTAACGGAGAAGCGGGTGCTTGGGTTCTTCAGCATGTAGCAAGATGTACCCCCGTGTGGGCACACTCACCTCATGTGTCATATATGAATTTAGTGATGATAAACTATGTCTCTCGTCTCTCGTCACAAGGCAGGATGCGCGGGTACGTATGTTCGAAACGAGCGTAAATGAGGTGTCGGCGCTGTGATGAATTCATAAACAGGCGTAGAAGATGTGGAATTGGAAGTGAGAATCGCAACCGCCGCATCACTAAAAGATGCCATCTCAAACCGAGTCATCTCAAAAAAAAAAGACCAATACTATGTATAATCCCAGATTCCGCAAGCCGATGACCAAGCCCAAAAGCAACCGATATACAAAGTTTATAGTTAAAGCCATGTATAACAAACCAACGCCAAGTGCTAATGATGAGTAAAAAGACGCCTTATAAATGCAGTAAACAAGAGAGGATAGGAGATCGGTACTTAGTTCACCTTCTTCTTCTTCGGTTGTATGAAAAGGTTAGGCCCAGGCCTCTTTCGAATTGGTGCACGGGTCGGTGACATTTTCGGCTCGTCAGAATCAGTATTTGCACCAGATTTGGGTTGTTTATGGTCTTCGAGTGTTGTACTGGAGGACATTCGCGGCTGGGGTTTCGACGAAGAAGGTTGAGAACCGGACAAAGGTCTGGTGGATGTAGATCTTCCTGGGGATGACGCTTGCAGTGGAGTGCGAGACTGGGAAGAAGTCGAGGCACGACCTGTAGTTATTGCACGTAGTCGGGACTCTCTTTCTTGCAAGGAAGAGCTCAGCGCGGGGCTACTTTGGCCCCGCGTACTTGAGGTATCTTGCAGGCCCGAGCGCCCGGGTGCACGTAGCGTTGGTTTCCGGGCAACGGCTGGCTCAGCAGGTCGACGGTGTTCCTCTATCAAAGAACGCGGAGCCTGCCTTACCTGAGTCGCCCTGTTGCTGAGCTGCTTAGTAGGGACAGCCAATGTGCTGTTCCTCTTTGTTGCAGCAAAGATGTTATTTCTCTTCGGTGTCTGCGAGCGAGGGACTGATGGCCGTTCAAAGGACCAAACAGGAGACCCCATAGGATCAGAAGAAGCACCTCCCCCGGTTTTGGATGAGAAGACAGGGGCGATACCGCCCATTTTTCGGTCGTAAGATGCATACCGTTGCTTCGCTGTTGGCCGATCTCGTGGAAGGCGAACAGTTCGTCGGTCGGTGACAAATTGAGTGCTATGCTTGGCGCGCTCTGAACTTATACCATCGAGAGCCATCTTAAGCTTTTCCGCATCCTCATCAACGGCCCTTTGTATTCTCTCTCGTAGCTCGCAGTATACGTCGTACCAGCAGTCCGGCTCGTCGGGTAACTGATACTCGTCCCATTTGGGTATGTCTCGTTTTATAAATTCCATCCATAGTTCAACATCGTCTCTCATTATATGTGGGGATTGCAATTCAAGGGACCTCTGGAGTAGTGGTTAGCGATAACCGGACGTCAAGATAGATTGTAGTAGCCAACTGACCAGTTTCTCCGGGCTCTCGATCTTCAAAAGGAAAGGCCGGGCTAGCGTGTAGGGAATATTGCCGATATCGTTGAGGTCTAGAAAGCAAATGAAGTCAGAATGAGTACAGTCCAGGTGAAATCTTGACCGTGGCTACTTACACTTCACGTTCCGAATCGCAGTCGCTGTGCAGAGCTGACGCAAGGTTGGGGCTGGCATAGTGGAGAACCTGAAGGACAACCAAAATGAAACCAAAAAGAGAGTATGAACGGGTTATAACATATCATACTAGCAGGAAGGCATGCAATAATCGCCGCCGTGGACTTCACAATTAGAGGTAAGACGAACAGGATGAAGATCCAACGTCCGACCCCATGGTTTATATAAGACTGACGGCGGTGACGATCCAACCCGATGTGGATGACATCACATGATTTTGTTTTGAAAAGGAAGGATAGAGGTTGTTTCCCAGTTTATTTCACCGAAGGTATTCCTTAATTAAAACAAATTGGATGTTGGTATTAATATTATCGACGCTTGCTAAGTCGATGATTCGTTGTTTCCGATTGTGCCTTGTTCATCTTGCCCGAGATATGCTGTGACCGATTAGACTGGGTCAGGGAACAGCACCAGGCTCCATGCGCCAGATTCTCCGGCAATTGAAGGGTTGGCCTATTTTGAGAGGATATCCTCTGAATTTAATTGCGCATATACCCTATGAACCGTTTGAATGAACTTTTCACTTGAATACCCAGCGTGAGAAGTCGCAGAGCTGACTGCTGATACCCCATATTAACATAAGATTGCGACTTTCTCGAGTGACCAGACCTTATGAATTTGTGCCTAGGCTTCCATTTACCAGGGAAACCGTTGCCGAGTGTTGGCGTTTTCCAAAATTAACTTCAAGAGACAAGGCAAGAGCAACCTACTTTGAAGATCGTCCTGCCCCGACGTTCAAAAGTGGGTTGACCCTAGGACCATGGCAGATGAGGCTGGGGGGCTCAGACTGTACTTTCCAGTTCCTCCCTCCAAGCAAGTTAGACTACGCAAAGGAGGATATGTTTCTGAGCCGAGTGGCCAAAAAACATGGTATTGCCAATACTCCATTCAATATGATAGCCACAAAGGAAAAGTTTGACAAGAAGATTGGGGGAATCACAAAGCATCAAAAGAATCGAAATGCAGGAAAGGGTGCCGTCACCTAATTCAACTTGTTGGTAGCGGTGTTTGGTTTTCCTTCCTGAGCGTCATCCGGCATCTGAGCAAACCATTGAGGAGGTTTGATTCCAGTCTGGTCGTGGATTGTGCTAAGCAAAGGAGGAAGGCCCTGCATGATATTGCGAATGGGGCCCAATGAATCCCCAGAACCACTCGTACCGTCTGTTCATATAGATTTTAGAAGGCAACTGACGCAGAATAGGGGGAGTGAGACTTACCACCGCCCGTGTTCCATGTGGTGATTTTGGGCTGAAGGCCTCTAATAGCGTGGCCATTCGCTATGGCCAGTTTCTCGTACATGCCGGTCTCAATCATCTTCCACTGAAGGAAGGCTTGAGGACCACCAAGGACATCAATAAGGGCGCCGTAAGCCTTGGCCATTTCTAGCACTCCTTCAGCTTCACGCTTCTTCGAATTGAAGGCGGCATCTGCGTCTTTGCTAGTACGGTAAACTGTGTCTAATTAGCACTGATTCACCATTCAGTATGATGCAGTCGTCCGCAACGTACATTTCGCATCTGCCTCCATCTTCTCCTCATACAGCTTTGCCTCTGCAGCCTTGGTGCTGGAATAGTACTGGGCGTCCGCCGCTTCCTGAGCAGACTCTCGCTCCACCTTACTCTTTGTGACTTGCTTAGCCCTGAGACGTTCGAGCTCTGTCTCGGCCCGCTTGGTCTCAACCTGTTTCAGCAACTCTGCATCCCTCGCTTCTGTCTGACGCTGAGCGGTGATCTTGCCGAGTTGGACCTGGGAATCAAGTTCCGTCTGGCGGTTCATGAGCTCTGAGTCGGCCTTTGCCTTTTCAGCCTTTCGCTTTGTCTCTAGAACGGCGGTGTCCGCATCGATCTTGGAGATTTCTTGTTTTGTCCGTCCGTGTTTTTCGGCCTCACCAATCTCACCTCTCATCCGGGCCTCTGCGACATCGATCTTGGCTTGGTTTAGAGCCCCTTCATGAGCCTTTCGGCTCAAGAACGCGAAATACTCGCTGCCCTTTGTGTCCTGAAGCTCCTTGACGTTGGCGTTGTAGCTAGGTTATGGTCAGCGGGGTGGAAACTGGAAGTGCGATGCGGAGGTAAGTACATTTTCAGACCGAATTGTGCCAGTTCATTTTGGACATTGGAAATAACTTCAGATTGTTAGCAAGGCGAAGGAACTATAGAATAGGAGACAGAATCCTAGATACCTTTCGACTTGAATACCTGACGCTCCTTGAAGATTTCCTCCATGGTCATGCTGGAAACAATCACGCGAGTTTCACCCTCAATGATACCCTTCACGATATCCTGGACATGGTTTCTGGTCGCGGGAGTGTTCAGATTAGCATCAGCTGCCGCCTTGTTTTGTTGACGCTCGGCAGTCCCAGAAAGTAGAAGTGCGTATTTCTTGAGGGATGCCAGCTGGTCGTCTGGGCCGATAGTGAAGACCGCAGGAAGCGAGAACTGTAGCTTTTCGATGGTCATAGCCTGGAGGCTAAGGGAGAAGTCAAACGGCATAACGGAGATCCTTGCACACTGGTATATGGGTCAGCACCGGCAGTTGGATAGATGGCTGCTAATAGTGGCCCATTTTTATCGCGATAGTAACGTACTCGCTGCCATGGCATCACCCACGCCTTTTTGCAAATCTCGATATCTGGAATTCCGGCTCCAGTGAGCACCAGGTACTCGCTAGGTCCAGCGATAGCGTATCTGTAGTATATCTATGAGTAAACGTGTCTGGGTAGTACGTAGTGACATCGATGCATACCTCATCTTGGCGTTTGACAGTATGGTCTAGCCTCAAAATAAGTAGAAGTATAAGTAGGAATATAAGAGATTGAATAAAAAAGAGAAGTACGAAAACTTCATGACACAGGAGGGAAGAAATCGTCCTTTATAAGCAGCCACGGCCCTGAACATGCTCAGAATCAAAACTCTCTTCACTGTTTGCCCTGGTCTGACGCCCCAGCATTGGAGGGCATGATCGTCCTGAGAGACAGTGCTTGACAACAAGGTTCAGACAACCAAACCACGCCATGCACAGCCGTTTTCCTTTCCGAATAGCCGCTGAAGCCAGTAAGGCATGACGGGTGGACAGGTCGGTTAGTTCATGGAATCTTTTAGCGATTATTACTGGTTTTGTTGGCTGCGAGCCCCGTGTCCTGCGCCCCGAGCCCGACTACTAGTCGGGAGGAGCAGTTGTACTAAGACCTATCCATGGGGCCCGGGGCGATGAGCCTTATCGTGACAAAGTCTAGTTGACGAATGACTACAACGAGGCTGCCTTGAATACTGTTATTGGCTGGCAAGGCTGAAAATGCCCGCTTTACTAGGTAAGCCCGTTGGTCTGCCTACTCGTTTGTGAGGCTCCAGTGCTATGCTAGTTACCCCTGACGCAGCGCAGCAGAGGCAGTACCGTCCGCATCGTATCTGCACTGCACTTTGGGGCTGCAGGCGCCCGACGGACCCACCATGACCTTGCAAGACTCACAGTCACAGAAAGGGAGTTCCCTGAAGACAACCCATTCCGACTTCCGAGAGTTTCGTCAGGTTAGTTATGGTGGGCTTTGCAGTCTCCGAAGGTTGAATCCGACTTAGAGAGATAATGACCCAATCAGAGAGTCGAGAGATGAGTCCTCACACTCTCCGGTCCTATCTAGGAACAAACAGTGCAAACTTTCCGTTTCGGGCTCATCAGCATCATCGCCCGAAGCGTGGAGGGGCGGAGTGAGGATCGCATCGCGACATCATCAACTGCCGCAAGGCTGGCTATATCGAGACATAAGGCACAATTGAAACAGTAGGTAAGTGGTTAATCCAACACTCCTTGGAATTTTCCGCCCCATGCTGTACATTTGCAGCCTGCACTCAGGAACCAAGCAAACAGATACCCCTCCTGCTCGCCCGCTATGTATCTATGACCGGAGGTTATGCTGTGCTTTGTTTTTCCTACGTGCGACTCTGGAATAATCGAACTAATTAAACTATTTGCAGAGAACTACCGACATAATGGCCCCACGCTCACAGCTTGAAATCACTACGGCCTCAGTGCAGCGCCTGGTTAAGGAAGAGGCGTCGTACCGCCGCGAGCTGGAGCAGCAGAAAGAGAGAATCCAAAAGCTGGAAGCACAGGACCCCAGCGCGGACGAAAACCGAGATTACCTGCTGAACCAGGAGGTATGCATCTGTTTGAACAACCGGGAGCTGGAAACTACAGTTTACTAATTGTTTAATGGTAGCGTCTTGCACTGGCGGAGACAGAGAGAGTCTTTCCAAGCCTTAAGCAGAAGATCGAAGAAACCATTGCCAAGCTCGACAGTCTACTGGTATGTCTCTCTAACACAAATAGGCCGACTCCGGCTGACATTTTCATTAGGTCGAGGAAGGAAAGAAGGGTGCCGAAAGCAATGTTGAACATATCAATGCCGCTAAAGAGGCCATTGCGAGTGCCAGAGTTGCTGAGCGAGAGATCGCGTGAAGGTCAGGGAAGCTTTCAATAGGCGCACAAGAAACGCCAATTAATAGAAAATATGTTATCTAGGACAAGGCGTATGTAAATTAAGGAATACTCTTTTCGATTGTGAACGCCAATCCCCTGACTCCTGACTCCATAATGCATAAAAGAAACCATCATATCCTCTATGTAGTGTCCATTTTGTCGCCGTTACGGCCATCTGGTAATTCCTCGCCTTCCTCTAAATCGTCATGTCGTTCTCCCTCGTCAGCCGTCACTTCGCCCTCGTCTACCATGTTCGCATCTTCCTCAGCAGTAGTGACTTGTCGTAGAGGCGTTGCAGCCCCGGGAGTTGGTTTGTTCTCGGGCACGGCGAGAGGCGAGCGACCCGCTTCGTCTTGACTCTGGGAGGGAGTCACGCTTTCTTGGTCTAGTCTAGGCGTGTTGGAACCGCTTATCTTCCCCTTTGAGACTTCCCCGTCGTCTCCATCCTCGTCTTCCTGCATGCCCTCTCGACGCTCTACTTCCTCTTTCTCGTCGCGGATCAGTCGTCGGAGTTGCATTCCCTCTTCCACAATGCGACCGAACTGTTCTCGTCTCTCTGCCCACGTCTTCGCGTAATCCTTGCTTTCATTTTCCAATTCGGCAATCTCGGCCTGCAGCTTCTGCAGATTTGCTTGCTGATCTTCCCGCGGCTTCAAAAGGCGATTGCTGGTGATCTTTTCTGTCTGTTCATCGTAGCTTTTTCGCAGTATCAAAATCCGTTGGGCTTCATCCAGTTGGACGCGTAGTTCCGTAGTGTTCTCGCGAACGGCTTGCATCGTGGAAAGAATCCGCTCTTTCTCGGCTACATATCGCTCGCGTTCTTTCTCATTGCTTGTGAGTAAGAACTGTATCCGAGCGATGCTCCCTTCAAAGGCGGCAAAATCCAAAGATGCATCTTCGCGGAACTGGCGCCACTCATCCAATCTCTTTTGCTTATCCACCTCCGCAGCCGCGGCAGCCTCTTCGTCAGTCCCGTCGGGTGGGGGCGTGGGAGGAAGCGTCGCATTTGAAATAACGATTGATTCGGGGTTCAGGAGGCGCTTGGAAATTCTCTTGAATGGCTTTTCTTCGACATTCAGTAGGCGCGACTTATGGAGCGCATCTAAATGGACGAAAGTTAGCTCTGAAACAAATCTGCGCTGGGCACGAGCCGACCTTCGTCCGCCTGATCCAGGAGCCCGTAGGACGGCATGCTGAACGTGCTTATGCCCCCTGCGATGAAGATGAGCGACAAGTGTGGGGGATTGAGCGTCTGACTTGTTCGGCCACCGAGAGCAAGCTTGGTTCTGGTTTAAAAAGAGAAGCAGTGATGGGGGGAAGCGGTCTGAGAAGGTCCGGACGAGGTCAGTTGGAGAAAGATCCGACACGCTAGGCGGACAGTGACCCTCCCGTTCTCCTCTGCAAAACCCCCCATTGCGGGCTGCTCTTTCGAACTATTTGCTGCAAACCTGAGACTATTTCCTGCGACTGCCATGCCTCCGTATTTTCCGTGAATACCGGCAGGTCTGTCTTCGCTTCGCTAAATTCTGTCGGCTTCTGCTGGCTCGTCTCGAGCCCCGGTTCTTCGGCTGAGTTACCTGGATCGGCCCGATCCTGGGATGCTCTGCTGCATCCGTCTATGCTTCACCATTGCCCCTACGAATTTCCCTGCGTTTCGTCCCCCGAAGCTACGTGTTAAGTGTGCCAAATTTACACGTGAACTATGCGAAACCAGCCGATCTGTTTCTTGGACCAGCGACCTCGAGTGAGACTCCACTAATGGAAAGTTTTATTGCCATCGACTCGCCGCTGTTCGCTTTGCGCCGGTTTTCCTGATCGAAATGACGGAGATGTATTCGGGCCTGCATGTGGGCCAGCGGTTTCCCTCGCTCGAAGAGTTCAAGGGACTGGTACGGAGTATATCAGTGAGGCAGCATTGGGAGCTTCGCGTGACGCGGAGCAACAAGAAAAGCGTGGTGATAGGCTGCCGGTCTTCCAACAATTGTTTCTTTCGGGTTGTCTGTCGCGCAAATAGGAATGCGACCTATATCAGCAGTCTCCAAGACAGTCACAGCTGTCGACGGAATGCTACTTCAACAACGAAAACCCCGGCTCGTTCGGAAGCCTCGCATGTGCGGTTCCTTCTCAGCGAGATACCCAAACTTTTCGACATGAGGAACAAAATAAAAGCGCAGGATATTGTCGATGCCGTTAAACGGTATCATGGATATGACATCTCGACAAGACAGGCCCAGCGCGCACTTATCAGACTGCAGCAGCGGGATTCGCAACAGCAAAGCGATGCAGCAAACTCGTCCAGTGGGGAAGACCGACAAGAGAGCCAGCCACCACCTGTAGAAGGGCAGAACGAGGGTCCAGCTTATGGTGGAATTCCGGGCCAGAGATGGATGCCCGAACCGGTACAGCCGAATCTTGTTGATAATATCCCACCACAGCAAACCGAAGATCTACGAAACCCGACCCTTCCGACCACAAATCTGCAGGCACCGCCAATACAGCCACACCCTCCGCAACTACAAAACCCCCAGCGAATACGACCTACTGTGCAAACACAACAACCACAACAACAGCCGTTACCTCCTACGCCCCCTCTACAAGCAGCACCAGTTCCACAGCATGAGCACACCTCCGTTAATCATCCACTACACCCTCCACCTACTTCTCATCAACCCTCTTATCCTTTGCAAGCTCCAAGCCAGCCAGCACCACGACATCCAGGCTTAGCTAAATCTCCCACCCAACCTCAGCAGGCTAGCCACCCTTCTGCACCTCAACTTGTCCTCACAAACTTCAAGATAGAGTTCTCCTGTACATCTTGCGGGGCTCTCAACCAAAGTTTCTTTCCAAACCAAGGCAACGTTACTGGCGGACACTACATGGGACCTCGTCCTGTGCCCGAGCAGGCCAACATGCCTCCTGGGCCGGGTCCCTCAGCGCCTACTGCTACCGCTCGGGGTATTGCTGAGCCCACCAATGAACAGTTGGGCGACGCTCACATATATGACCGAGCCAGAAGGGCCAGCACACGCGGAGCTCCATCCCCTTGGCCACCAACCGCTGGTCCTTTGGATGTTCCACTAGCACCTCCGCATTCGCATAGCCCTACATGAAAGCACCCATACACCGCCTAGACAGCTGCACTTTCCCAGGCTCAATTCCCTTTTCTTTGCATATTCAATTCCGACTATTGTATATTTTCTCTTTACCCTACCTAATTTCCGACCCGGACTCGAGGGACACTGCCTGAGACCGACATTCCAACATTATTCTCTACTACTGTTTGGCTCTCGTTATATTTGTGATATCTCCTTACTGTTTAACCGTCTCTGCCCTTATACGCTTTCTTTCCGTTTCTGGATTATTCCCCATATGCACTACCAATTTTGTACGATTTTCAGTGTACAGCTGAACTAGGAAACCAGTTGGCCTTCCGATATTACCAATAGATAGGATTTTCCCTACATGTTCTACTATATACCATTGTACCTTATCAGTATTTCTTGAATATACGGCCCTACAGTGGTCTTTTCTTGATAGTCAAGGTAGTTATATAAAAGATGTTAATAGTAGATACCGAGAAAGGAAACAATCGATAAGGCTTGTCTCCAATTCGATAAACTTATCAAGGACCAAAAATAGTGCGATGCGAGAAGTGGTGCTTGGAGAGACCGTCCCCCGAACGCGTCTTGGCGTCCTCTCCATATCATCCATCGAATGGTCCCAACTCTCACTCTCCCACCATCTACCCTCAACACAGTTGTCATCAACAATGACTAGCTCAACATCTAGTAATGGATCCATCTGAATTGTGTGAACCCCAGACAAGTGCCTCGTCGCCTCACCAAGACTACAATCCCCGAAAGCGCGCAAGGACGGCATGCACTCGATGCAAGACCAGGAAGCAAAAAGTCAGCCTCCGCCCCAAATACCGCATCCTGCTATCCAGCACTAACGGTCCAAAAGTGCGATAATGAATACCCGGTTTGTTCTAACTGCCTCAGAGCCGGCGCTGAGTGCGACAAGGCTTCAGTACGACAGGAAAGTGGCCCCAAAAGCGAGTAGGTCTTGTCAGCACCATGCATTATCCTTACTATAGTTGCTGATACCACTGATAGGCACACGCGCGCTCTAGAAGAGCGCATCGCATATCTAGAGTCTCAACTGGAGTCTGGAACGACCAGTAGCCGAACTCCTAATCATGACACGCATCCCGTGGCAACACTTCTCTCCCCTGGCCCTCACGACCAGGAGACAAGCCAGGTAGGCTCTGCTGGAAATGGATGCCATGGGTCCGGAAGTGGTATTGACCATAATGCCGTCGGAGAACTAGTTGGTCTTCTTGCTGCCAACTCTTACGAAGCGCCAGCATATATTGGCTCGAGTTCGGGGCTGTCACTCGCAGCAAACCTGGGCGAAATGGTCCAGGCCACAGTTTGGAACGAAGTCCTCACTTCGTCGCGTAATCGGCCTTTTTCAATTTCTAGTGAAGCTAGAGGGAATGTGACTGCGCCGTCCAACTCTAGAATAAATGGCCTTCCTCCGCAACCGACACCGTCCGATAGAATCACTGGCCTAGATCGACCGCGAACATTGCGTATGGATGAGCTCCTCGCGAAAAGCACGGAGCCGCCGAATGATGAAATGGGCAGGAGGATGCTTCATGCATACTTAACTAGGCTTCACGTCCGGTATCCATTTATCGACCGCATTGAGTTGTGGCGTCTGCACGAGGACCGTTGGCGACTGGCCAAAACGAAACGCGAAGATCTCACAAAGCCAGAGAGATTTGGGATTTTTAAATTATATTTGGTTTATGCCATTAGCGCGACTATTATTCAATTAATTGAGAAGTATGACTATGTTCCACCAGAGGTATGTTACTATGTCGCCCGCTTCCTGTTTCTCAGGCTTGTACTGAAATATTTCTAGCGCTTTTATATAACGGCCATTCAGCAAGTGCCAGATATGTGTGAGACCCGATCTGTCGAGAACGTCCAAGCCATGACGCTTTTGGTTGTTTATCACCTGCGGTCTGGCTCTAGCCAAGGCGTCTGGTATATGATCGGCCTGGCTATGCGGACAGCGATTGACCTTGGGTTACACCGCAAGGCCAACGAGATATACCTTGATCCAATCACGGCACAGCTGCGACGCCGCCTCTTTTGGGCGGTATACTACCTGGAAAGAGTGGTATCGGTGTCTCTTGGGCGGCCGTTTAGTATTTCGGATAGACATATTGATATTCCGCTCCCGGTCGACGTTGATGACGATGTCCGCGACCCAGCACTGCTCCCTCAAGCGCCTCCTCCCTCATCAACCACACCTGAGGGTAATACTAACGGAGAAGGGGCTGGTACAAACACTAGTAACCATCGTATCACGTCTCTAACGTACTCCATCTACCTGATAACCCTACGCCGCATCGAATCCCGGATCCAACACAAGATCTACCGCGCTGACAGACCGCTTCACTTGCTCCGCTCCAAGATGGACCACCTTTTTCTTGAACTCGAAGAATGGAAGGCGTCTGCCCTCCAACGTTTCGCAGCATCTGATCTTGATTACCCTATGCTCCACTACAACCGTGCTCTCCGCCTCCTCATCCAGCCATTCCTTCCATCACTCCCTGTCACCGATCCTTACTACCATATTTGCCTCCGTGCTGCGGGAGACATCTGCCAGACACATAAGCGCCTCCATCAAACCCTCGAATATGGCCATTCCTTCCTTGCCGTTCAGACCGTCTTCATCTCTGGGATAACCCTCCTCTACGCCCTCTGGACACACAGCGACCAAATCTGGTCAGTCCGAATTAGCAATGATATCCGCGCGTGCTCAACTGTTCTATTCGTTATGGGTGAGCGCGCCGGGTGGGTAAAGAAATATCGCGACGCTTTCGAGCTTCTTGCCAACGCAGCCATGGAGAAGCTTCAGGGCAACGAGGCCGCCAGAACAGCAGGAATGGCCGAGTTGATGACTGCCCAGCATGCTAAACTTGGAACCGACGCTGCATATGGCGTGGGCCTCGATACGTCCCCCAATTATATCCACGGCTCTGATCCGCCCGCGACAGCGCCAGGGTATTCGGGTACAACACAGGCCCATGCCACGGGGTTTACGCCGGATTTGAGTGCGGGCCAGGGAATCGGCCCGTCCATCGACGCAGCTAGTCAGGACCATGGCGTGCGAATGGCGCTCCAGCTTGCACCTTGGATTGATCTTGAGGACGGGAATGAGCCATTCTGGGTTCCTGACTTTGAGACCCTAGAGAATTTCTCGGGGAATCTGTGGAGTTCAGGGGATCCGTCGCTGTTTACTCCACTGTGAAGCCAGTCAAGAATCAAGATAAGAGACGTCTGTTGTGTGAATTATGGACCCTGCCCTGATCGTAATCCATCCCTCGTTATTGAGTCGGTCCATGAAACCTGTCGATCAACGGATGACTCAGCCGTCACCGCCGTCGAGTGGGGTTCGACTCCAAAGAGTGGCGGTGAAAGGTACCAACCAATCAAAAGCGCCGAAATGGGCCTGATGCGCTGACCTCCAGTTCTAGATCTGAGAACAGCGCTGTCCGGGCTCAGGCATCCAAATTACCTGTAAATTGCGATAAATTGGCTATATATTGCCGTGGCTTCCGAGAGACGGCCGTCGACGAAAGTGAGGCGCCCACGATAAATCGCTCAACTGAAACACCAAGTCGGGTTCAGCGAGGACGATCAGGTAGAGATGCAGGCGCACAGGCCAAACTGCAAGGAACTTGAGATTCTGATTATTTGGAATGCGGGGCACTTCAGACTCTGAGGGCTGCGAGTCGCCATGACAAATTTTCCAAGTGCCCAGTTAAACGGACCTAAACTTGTAGAGTGCTGACGATGGCGATCGACTGACACTAGCGACTCGAGCCCGAGTCGAGGGACAAACCAGACGAACGCATCGGTGCAGCCCAGCGTAAAGGAAGTGTTAGTTGTTTGACTAGCCGCTCGCGGCAGGAGCGTTGCTGCATGGTCCTCCACTTGTTCTGCAGCGTGGGCTGTGATCCCTCTACACTTGCTTGTTTCTGTTGGCGCCAGGGCCCAGAATATGCGCAGACGGTGAGGGGTGCGACATCGGCTTTTGAGGTATAAATGCACAACACTGCGACTGCTTCGGGTCTGTCCGCCGCCTGACCTGTATCCTTGCCCCAATCGGCGCCTTCTTCTCTCCTTGTCTTTGCGGTCGGACAAATATCCGTCCTTCTCGTTCTTAAGACAACGATGTATCCCAACTGGTATGTACAATACTTGACCCTCCTACTGGCTGCCCGCTGGGACTGACTTGTTTGCCGCACAGAACCCTAATATTGTCGTATTAACGTCCTGGTGGCGTTGGAGGAGACATTCTTGACCATTCAGGCTGTTGTTTTCTATACAAGTTTCGCCTTCCACGGACCCTTGCTGATCTTCCCGTCTTTGCTGCTTGTGACTGGTGCTGTTGCCTGGTGCATGTGAGGCCATTCCCGTCCCTCATTTTCGTTGGAGTCCGAACCCTTATGACGGGGACTATGGCCACCATCACATGTCATCGTCATCTCTCTTCTGATGGCTATGGCCACTATGGCTCCCAGCCTGAAAATGGCCATAATAATAGCCCTTCTCTTCACCTAGCTGCATCGACCCTTGCAGCAACTCCACTTTATTCCAACCCGCAACACAATCCACCCTCACCCCAGGTGGTGCCTTCCCTGGATATCCAATCTGCTGCTGCAGCTGATAAAACGCCCGCTTGTCACTCCTTTGAAATAGCTGGAGAAGTATATCTTCTATCTACAGCCTCGGATAGCGTGCACGCTTCCGATAACGCTGCGAACGACAGCATGATCAATACATCTATACGCCCTTCGTCCGCCGAGCTACGGACCCCGAAACGGAAACGAACAGTCTCTCCCCCATCAACGAAATCTCCTGGTGAGGTTCGTTCAACTTCTCGCAGTACACGACGTTCTGGGGTTCACAGTCGCCCTAGCTCCATTCATTCTCACCGTCGTACAAACACCATCACATCTCTCACGCCATCTGCCCCAGACTCGCCGGTTCGACGTGAGAACCTTCTGGCGCTGCATCGAGAATCCTGTCGACTCTTCCAAGATTCGAATACCGAGGCCCGCCGGTCATTTTCTCCTCCTCATACTCCTCCCCGTACCGTGCGAACGTTTTCCGATTTCAGCTCTCCTCCAGTAACACCGATACTTGAGCGTCGGCCTTCTGTAGCGGGCTCCCCCGGCCCCAATACTTCACACTATGACCACGAATCCGTTGATCAGATTGATGTTGAGGTCGGTACAACGGAAACAAAACCTACCATAATAGAATGGACATCTCCCTCTACACGTCGCCGTGAATACAAAGCAATAGACCGAGCTAGCAGCGGCATGCGTGGACTCTGGCGACGAGTTGCACCCCGGTGGTGTCAATTTGGCGACAGCCGAGTTCCGTTCTTCGAAGAAGGGAAAGACGGCAAAGCCAACTATGAAGGAAGCGTCCGCAGGTTTCGGATGGATCTCCCTGAGGAGCCCTCTGACAAGCAAACTCGCCGCGGACTAAAACTCAAGCCCAAGATTTCTGTACAGGCCATTGGCGTTGGTCGTCGTAGCAAAACTGGCTGATTATTTATGATGATCGCTCATTTTCACGTTCATTGTCATTAGCGTTGCGTTTTGATTGATACATGGCCGTCCGAATTTGCATGTGATACCCACAAGACACATATTACATATAGAATTAATTTCATTCAGTCCGTTTCAACGCCGCTCCCTTTTAAGTACTCGTATATATGCAACGCATGAAAATGGTTTACAGCGCCATATCCCAGGGCTTAACAACAGAAATAGGGTATCAAATCCACATAGCCACGCAGCCAGAACAGGCTACATAAGATCAAAGTCGTCCAAGTTCTCCCGATACTGCATAATACTCCGCTTGATCTTGCTTGAGTCCACCCACGTCACGAAGTCCTCCATGTTCCTTGTGACAAGGTATGCCGGGTCTGTCACAACCTCCGACCCAACACGCACATGGCCTTGCTCGATGAATGTAACCGCCTATCCGTCCACAAATAGATCAGCAACCAATCCCATCACTCCTCAGATATCTGGAGAAAATAAACGAAACAAAAGAGTGAGCAAGGTACTAACCGTCTTGATATTCTCCACCATCCCACTCCGCGCCATAACAACCGCCAGCCGTCTTCTGCAAAACGCACTAACCGTGACCTCCTTCTCAATCCTCGACAGGCCAGCGCCCTGTTCTCTCGATTGCTTCAAGATGCCCATGCGCCATAACTTATCCAGGACCTCGGACTCGGTCTTCTGTCTGACGGGGTCTGCATCAGGGTCTAGAGCTGCGAGCTTGTGTGCAAGTTGACGGAGCGATCCCACGATCGAGGAGTACTTTTTGTAGTCGAGTGGGTTTTGCAGGTAGTAGCGTTGCGAGACCTCGTGCTCGCGGTGGGCGTGGTCGGATTTGTAGGTGGTGAGATTTACTTTGCGGAGCAACCTGGAATGGCAGTTTGGTTAGTAGGGATCTCTTGATTTGGGGTTGCTTCTGAAGATATGCGGGACGGACTTCTGCTCGTGGTGCTTGAGTTTGCGGACCATTTTTTTGGCGGAATCTTTCTTATTTGATTCAGCTTGGTTTGGTTGATTTAGTTTTTGTGATGGGTGGTTGAGATAAATTTTCGAGATGATAACTGGGCGGTGTGAATCCTGCCGGTGCAAACACGGCAAACAATATGCAAAGGATATTGGATATCTAGATACTCGCAACTCCGATAGATGCACGCAAGCTATATGGTCTATCTTAGGTAATATACATCATAATTCATCCTTAACTGGCGCAGGTGCGGCGGGTCGTTCGCTGTCCTTCTGAAGATCGACACCGTTCTTCTTGCGCCACTTCTCCCACAGCGCGTGGAAGTCCTTCTCCATGCCGCTCTCCATCTGGTCTGGGAGAATGACGGTGTATTCAACGTACAGGTTTCCTGGGCCATTGTCGTCGTGATCGTGGAGATGGCCGTCCGAGTAGAATGGCATGCCCTCGCCCTGGACCGTTTCCACAGCTAATGGCTGCACGACCTCTCCGCGTGAACGGCCAAGTTGGACGATGTGACCGTCGAAGTGGGTGATGTTGCGCGTCCAGTCGCCCATCCATGCCTCTCGCAGCGACAGCGTTTCCTTCCAGAATAGGTCCCGGCCCTTTCGGCGGAAAAATGTGGCGTCCGTTCGGTGCTCCTCTGATGTGCTCAGCTCGGGCTCCTTCTCTTCGAGAATCAACACCAGGTCACCGGCAATATAGTCGGGGCTTTCGTCTCCCTCATTCTCGAAAACCAGGCGCGTCCCCTTATCCATACCCGGCTCCACCGTAACAAACGTTTCAACATCCTTGCGAACAACCCGCTGTCCGCTACAAACCGGGCAAGGCTTCTTGACCATCTTGCCCTGGCCGCGACACTTATCACAGTGCATCTGTACCTGCTGAAACATCCCAGGCGCCAGCATATGTTTCTGAATCACAATTCCCCGTCCCGCGCACTTATCACACGTTATAACCTCACGGTCCGCAGACCCAGTCCCGTGACAAGTCTCACAAATCTGCTGCCTCTCGATATTCAACTCGAACGACCTCCCAAGATAGAAATCACGCAGCGGTAGCCCGATCCTAAACTCCATATCCGGGCCCCGTCGATGTCCTGGCGCATGTCCAAAGTGTCCGCCGCCGCCGAAAAACCGCGAAAACAAATCGAACGGGTCGTTCGCGTGTCCGCCCGCCTGGCCGCCCTGGCGGTGCTGCTCGACTCCCTCGTGTCCATACTGATCGTAGATCTTGCGCGTGTTCGGCGTAGACAGGATCTCGTAAGCGTCGGCTATTTCGATGAATTTCTCGCGTGCAGTGTCATCGCCTCTATATGACAAAGATATCCTTATCAGTATGATGTTCCCCCCACCCAGAAGACAGAATTGAAAAGTAGCGAAAGCTTGACAAAGAAAAAAGCCACTTACGGGTTCTTGTCCGGATGATGTTTTTTGCTCAACGTGCGATACGCCCGCTTGATGTCCTTCTCCGAGGCACTCTTATCCAATCCCAGGATTTTATAGTAGTCCTCCGCCGCGAGCACCAATTGCACAAGCAACAGCGCAACGCCGAACGAAAGCAGAAGCCCTCGCAATAACTGCATTGTTATCAATCTATCTGGTCTGTGGCATTTGAAGCTGAAGGCTGGAAATTGACGCTGTCTTGCGGTGTACCCAGGCTGTTGTCGAGCAAAGCCGAATTGGGACCAAGCTCTAGTAGAAGTAAACTCGTGTCACTCTCGGGCCTGCGTTCTTTAAGGATGTCGACTCGTGAGCACAATTGAATTAATTTGTGGAAAATCGAATATCAGCTCAGAAATGGAATCATTCAGAGCTGAATCTCAAGATCAGTGAAGATCTCAAGTGAATTGGAGGGCGAGGGATTATTGTTTGGAGATAAATCGGTTTACTTCCGCGAATGGGATTCGTCGGTTGGGCTTTCGATGAGGTGGCCGGACCGGGTGAGGTTGATCCATTCCGGCATCACGTGCGCCGTATACATTACAGATGGATGGGGAGAGAGGGTCGTGAATATGTCAATTATAGAAAAGATTATTATGGTTATAGGGAATGCAATAGGAAACAAGTTATCATGCAATCTCCGACAACTACCATGCCGTGACATGAGTAGATGGGCCATGAATAAAGAACCTAAAATATACTTACATCGTGCATCATACTGGGACATCGAAAATGGTATTGCGCCAGGTCCTATGCAACCCCGGAGTCTCTTCGCCTTCTTCAACGGCATCGTGAGCCTCCAATGCCTCTTCATGCCATACTTTGACGAGACTCCCTGGGGCATATACACCCTTGAAAACACCCTTGCCCGGAGCGTCAATGCCAACGCGGGTTTCAATGTCAGGGTCCGGGGCTGGGACCAAGCGAGCCAGAACTGCACGGACAAAGGTGAAAAGATCATGTGGACTGGCGATGCGTGCGGCTCGAAGACGCTCCCGAGCAAATACCAATTCCCGGTTCAGCGCATGCGCAGCCTGAACAATCTGCTCCGCGATTTGCTTCTCCAGTACCCGACGGATCATATGTTTGAGGAATGGCTTGGTCAGCCAGATGAGAAATCTCCATTTTCCCTGATGCACCTTGTAGTCAAGCTTATGGATGCGGACACGTACGCCGCGGAGGGTGAAAATCTGCTCTAGTTGGTTCCGACCAACTTCCACATCCAGCGAGATATCAATGCCTCGCCTGTCAAGATAGAAGCTTGCAATCCCTTGGTCTTTGAGATAGAAGAAAAGTAGCTTATGGGTACGAAGCCAGTAGCCGAATTCTGCAGCACTCACGTTCATCCCAGATACTGATACGGTGAACGTTGTTTTTAGGTTTGCAGTAGTTTTCTTCGAGTGTCGCTTCAAGACATTAATGTCGTTCCGTGTCGTAACATGCATCTGATAAGGAAGGAATGACGAGTAGTTCACAGTATGGCCAGGCTCGAGAATCAGATTCTCCACCAAAAGGTCCACCTCGGGTGCAGACACCTCCAGACGAGGAATAGGGATGTATTGGACATTGCGGAGGATAAGAGGAAGAAATACCTCAAGCAAGTCCGCAGGCAGATTGGCCCGCTGGTTATGGTAGCCATCCGCAGCATCCTTGTAAATCTTACGAGTCGCGCTGACCAATTTGGAAACTTTTTCATCCCGGGAAATACTCTGTAATGTCCGCTTCCCCTGTGCAAGGAATTCGTCGACGTCCTTCCGTAAACTAGATTCCGCGCCGACGTGCTTTGATTTCTCCTTCAGCTCGTCGATCTTTTCTGGTGCAGAGTCAAAAGAGTCCGGATTCGTCATCATCTCCTGCATGGCAGACCCTATCTCTGACACCAAATTCTCGAATTCGGGATCTTTAGTGGCATGTCGCAGCACACCGTGAAGTCGCTGCTCCAAGGCCTTCCATTCCTTGAGATCCCCGATGGTTTGTAGGAGAGCCCAGAACTTGTGTATTGCTTCTTTCAGCTCTTCGTTTATTTCCGACTCCTCTTCTGCAGTCGAAGCAACATCCGTTGCTGCGTTTGCGTAGACCATGGCATATCGTTGCAGCAGCCGTGCCAGAACAGCAACTGAGTCAGTATAATCACGGCGCTCACGGAGCTTAAGGACAGTCTGTTTCAACCGATGTATTAGAGTTTCTTGCTCCTTTCCAGATAGGTGTTCCTCCGCAGATTCTTTGGACTCGTGGCCAGTCTGAGCGAGTCCGGCCTTCGCGACGTCAGTAACATGATTTACTTCTTCCCGTAACTCTTCGTTTGATATATTACGGCCCTCATCTGCACCCGCGCCAGATAGCGCTTGCTGCTCTTCTTCCTTCGGCTTGAGCTTCTTCCCAGCTTTTCGGGAGGCCCTAGACAGAGAGAATGCTGTGTCAGAGAATATCTCACGGCCAACAGTCGTCAGGTCCTCGACAAACAGCCGGAAGTCAGCATTTGTAAACAAGAGATTTCCGACAGTACGAAGGCTATCATATGCTGGTCATGACGATTAGCTTAAATCTACATAGATATCAGAGAAAGGGGGGATCTTAGAAATCTGGTACCTGCTCTGGTATCTGCCCTAGCTCTCGACTGGGAAGCTTGCTCGGCGAGCTGATCAGTGTGGACATTTACCCTGCCATGAGAGAGATGCCAAATGAACTCCTGCAATTGATCGTCGCCGTTCTTGGATTGTAAGAACTCAATCAACAATTGGATCCACAGGCGGCAATCGCGGACTAGCTGCCGGCCCACTGAGTCTATATCGGGGTTGCGGGGACTCAGTATATCAAAAGACAAGAGACTGCGGAGGTTTGCAATTGTCTGCTCGGTCGATGGCATGTAACCCTCGGAAAAGGCGCGGAGCATCTGATAGGTATGGATCTTCTGATGCAGCCGGCGCTGACGGCTCGTGTCGTCGTCATAGCGAGGGAGGAGCGGCTCTGTCTCTGCCCGCGACATGGCTTGTGAGGGAATTAATGGTGTACGATTTGTAAAGCAACCTCACCGACGTGCTGTGTTGGGAGGGTCGATCGTCATGTGTTGACGTGGGGGGTGAAGGGTGATGCGATTGATGCACGGACCCAGCGTGATGATGACGGGGACGCCAAGGGGGGTTGATTGCATGACAGGCGCGGGCAATAATCCTGGTCTTCGAGCTGGCGGCCTGGAGACTGTTTGCTCCTTGCTTGGGAGCTTGAGCGTTCCAGGCCGGCCCAGCTCACTCTTGCGTCACTGCCGCCGCTTTATCGTCAGGTGATCTACAGCTTGAAAGCCGTATACAGTAGGGGGTAAACACCGGCTAAGCTTTTGATTCCTTACTTGACAAGCCCCAGTTTATCCATATTCGGATCTTGACTGTAGCGATCGAATGACTGCAAGTGCATGGTCAGTATTATCAGCCTGTCCAAGAATCATTTCGGCAGGACGATCTGATCAGGACGCAAGGGTAGGAGTAGGTATATGCTCCGAACACTAAGCAGAAGCTTGGACGTAACAAGCTGCGATTAGATGGAGTCTATATTGTGGTTAACAGAACCTCTAGACTATGGCACCAAATAATGTGGCTGGAGCGTTTCTGACTCCCTATAGGGTTTCG